ATGCTATTTGATTGAATAGCGTAAGCGCACACAATATTGACAGCGGCACAAACCTTTGGCGAAGATGAGGTTCGTTTGTGATCATATTCGCGAAAGATTGCAATAAGTTCGCTCGTCTGGAACATGCCACATGCGCTAGTTGATTCTGAAATGAGACCTGCGATCTCTGATATCAGCTCTATGTGAATCGTAAGGAGGACCTTCGGGTGAGGCTCTGAAAGACACGTACTTTCAAGACAAGCCTGTCTCAGATTGCGCGGAACAGCTGTCTGTGACAGCGAGGTCGTGAAGCACGGCTCGCCAACTTGCTTCAATGACTCTCTGGATGCGATGCTGAAGCTGTGGTCACCCAAAATAAGATCGACGCATTTAGTGTTCAGCAATGAGAAGATCTGGCAAGAACCTTCGCTTCTTGTGAGCTGGCTGACGAAAGAGCCATGAAATACACAAGTTGAGAAATTACCTTGATACGTAAAGTCAATGATTGACTCCGATTGATCCATCATCACGCTCGTGCCTCGTCGCACGAGTTGATACAGAACATCTGGACAAGAAGTTTCAAGGCCATAAGTTACACAAGGCCACAGAACCCTTGAAGGACTATTTGTATGACGGTGTGATGGTGTTGTAGCCAAGGAAGCGACCGAGAGAACGCTTTCCAATTTGTTCTCGACTCGTTCTAATGACCGTATGAGATCATGGCGAGATCTACGTAGAGGCAAATGTCAGCGTCTACAATTGATTCTCCGTCAGTCTCGACCCAGCATACTTCCGGCTTGTGGGCGCTCGTTGTCTTGTGTATGCATAATCACACTCAAGACTCTTAGCTAAGCATTGCGAGCACCGTGGCACAGCTGCATCGCACTTGATCTGAAAGATGAGATTAGACTAGCTGTCAAGAGGAGTTTCATTTGAGAGGGGGTAACCCTTCTACCTTCCGCTTTCGGCACGGCGTGCAAGCCCATCTGGACCTCTGAGTCATGATAGGGTAGAGTCGTCTCGCTTGTTCAGGCGGATGGGGTTGACCAGAATGTGCCGACGCGGTGGTAAGGAGCAGGAAATTGTCTTTGGTTGTGCGGCTCAACTCGTGAACACATTATGAGTGATTTCTGGTGACGACGGAGTTCAAGCGGATATTGGAGTCAAACTCCGCAACCAGAGAGTTGTTCCGGTACCCGGGGACCCGCGCCACGGGAGTGGGGCCGTTGTTCCGATTCCCTAATACCCGACACCACAACTAAAGACTTACAATGCCGAAAGAGAGCCAGAGTACTTAAGAAGAAATCCCAGCCCAAGATCAATTTCCATGATATCTCGTCATTGTTCTCAGCTATTCACCAACGCTTCGATGTCTCTCAAAACTCACAAAGTAGCAGTGTTCGGAGCTGTTGGGGAGTCTGGGGGTATTATTGTCAATGGCCTGCTGGAGTCAACATCTCCGTCTTTTGTGAGTTAACGAGTCTCAATTTGCATTCTTTTCTCGAGCGCATGTTTCTATGAAAATTTTCACTGACAAGGTTGCAAAGGAAGTCGCCGCCTTGGCCCGGCCCTCGTCAATCTCAAAGCCAGCGTATGAGGAGCTGAGAAAAAGAGGTGTAAACGCCATTGTCATCGACCTTGACAAGCCAGAGACCGAGATCGCCAACAACTTGAGAGGATTTGAAATCGTAGTAGCCTCGGTCCATCCTGCCGGCATAGCGTCTCAAATAACACTGGCTCGAGCAGCCAAACTGGCGGGCGTCCAACGCTTTATTCCCAGCGCATTCGCGATGGCTATCTCGCCAACCGCCAACTCTTCCGTCCAGAAGTCGGTACGTCAGAACTCCACGGGTTAGTGGGCTTTATGATATTTAATATGTCGGTTTCTGACGTCCAATTGCAGAAGGAGGTGGTTTATGCGGAACTGAGAGCCATCGACCTACCGTTCACAATCATCGACGTCGGCTGGTGGTACCACGGATTTATCCCTCAACTGGCTTCTGGGCGAACTGACTATACCGTTGTGTTGCCTGAGTTCTTACGAAATCTAGTTCCCGGTGACGGAAATATGCCGACACACGTTGTGGATTGTGCGGATATTGGGGAACTCATTCCTCGCATCATTGTGGACCCAAGAACCATCAACCAAAAGGTCATGGCCTCCTTAGCAACGATGTCTTTCAACGAGATGTTCGCCATAGCCGAAGAACTTTCGAAGGAGAAGGTCATGAAGAAAGAGGTAAGATGGCTCCACGAGGCAATCCCTTGCGCTTTGATGAACTCCCACTAACCACGTCATTCTCGCCAAGATTTCCGCCCAGGGATTGCAGTCGATGATCGCAGACTTTGATGCACAGCTACAAGAAAACCCTCAAAATGCCCTTGCGGCAATTGGAAAGTTCTGTTTGGAGTACTATTATTCATCATTTATAGATGGAGACAACAGTCCAGAGGGAGTCAGTCGCCTAGGCTATCTTCTGGCCGCTGATCTTTACCCTGACTTCCAGCCGGCATCTTTCCAAGATTTCTTGTTGGAAGTGCTCAAGGGCCATATTCGGATTCCCTATTCAGGGAGATAGGTGTAAAGATCTCAAGTGGCGGCACATCAACTGAATTGTCCAAGTGCTGTTCACTCGATCTAGGACCAAGCCAAAAATGGCCATTTTTGGAGTTGCTGAGTGATGCCTTAGTTGATTAAGATGAGCGAGACAGACTTTTGTTGTTTCTTGAAGAGCTTTTAGGCACTCGGCAACTCAAAGCCAAATTCTCAAGCCCATTAAGGTTTCGAGATTGCGAGAGATATTACATCTTTGCATCAACAGATTTCACAGAAGTTGATTTAACTCAAATTATTGCCATCCCTCTTACCAAAGTCTACGTGAAGCCAAGACTATATATTCAAGGTCCGATTAATTTATCGTACGATATCTCCATCTAACGCTACAGATAGTATTGACGATGTCTCCCTCGCCAGAATGCATCATCACTCTAAGGGAGGCCGAAGGATGTAAATAGACGCTCATTAAGATCAAAAAAAGGAAAACAAGCTTCGAAAGACACGGACTGAACATAGCTGCAATAGTGTGGAAGCACGGGTGAATAGCAAAAGGAATACCTAAGCGGCAGACTCAGTCATAGTTCCAGTTGACACCGCTGCAACATCGCTCCAAGGATGAGTGCACTGCTAAACGTAATATGCTGGGGATCATGACGACAACGAAAAGGCAAACGAAGTATGAATTCCGGAAACGATAATACACGGGGGCGAACAGCTACTATAGTAAAGCCTGGTTAGTGTAAGAAGGAATGGAAGGAATGGAGGAGACGCAATGTTCTACATGATGGATTTGAACTTCGGAGCGTGGCATTCAGAGACAGCTTGTATTCCATCAGGTTTTATGCGTTGTTGTTGTTGTTGTTGTTGTTGTTGTTGTTGTTGTTATTGACGTAGGCTACTACAAAGGCTTGCAGGCATAGCTGAGTTTCGTGAACTCGCCATCACGTCGATTACGTATGTAAGTTAGGTCATCGCGAGGTATGTAATTGAAGGTATCTGCCGAAAGATATCTCAACTATTGATGCAATTGACTTCAAGCAACGAGTGTAGTGGCTCATCTCAACAAGATTTCGTGAAATCTACACCTTACTTTCTCAATGTTGTCTCTTGAATCAAGAAAACGCATGATCGGGGTTTCCTCGTCATGGCATTGCAAAATGTGTATGATTTCTTGATTTGTCTGAATTGATTAAACTCATAGACCTTTCCTCAATGAATCATTGTCGACTGGTTCCCCACCGCTGCATATCTGCACATCGACCTGTGTAATAACTTTGAATGTCTGGCGGGATAGTACAACGCCAGAAATTTCTCCATTGCTTCTTAATATGAGGCGGTCTTGCACATTATTCCGGTCGTTGAGGTGCCTTGCCACAAGGTAACTGTGTGTCTTGCTGGGGTTTTTACTGTACATTATCAGATTAGCCGGAAGATTTATGGAACAAAATTATTCACACAACGGGGTGCAAACATACTGGCTGTCGTAGACTGAAGAGCAAGGCATGATTGGAGCTGTTGAAGCAAGTCGCGGTACCCCCTCTGGTGGTAACTTGACGATCTGTAGTCGGTAACTGAGTAGCTCCTGATAACCATGGGAAATCTCAAAGTGCATCTGGATTGAAATAGGCATGATATTAAATGCAATATAAATACTTGGAAGCATCATAACAATTTTGTCCTGGCCAGCAGCATGGTTTTCAGACTCAAACGCGCGAGATATTATCTTTCAATTTAATGCATTTCAACTGATAGTCAATTGAAGAATTGCACACAAAGTCTTCGACTGAATTTCGATTTCGTGAGATTAAAACTGACTGGACACAACTGACCGACCAATCGAACTCTCATACGTCTTTGCAGCAGGTCTACAGGCACCCCTGGTCAGTGATAACAGTGTAACTAAGTACGTATCAGCCTCAACAGCGGGCAAACTCCATGAGGCTCCAAGTACTCCGCGGTGGTGACGCAAGAAACACTCCTGTGGGCTTAAACGAATATTGAATTCCGTCTGTAACATGGAAATCTCAGCCAGGCTTCTCACTAAGTACCTTGCAGGCAACCACTGACCCGTTTTTGCCGTGCTCAGCTAGTCACCGAAAACGCCTTGCCAGGCTGTGTGAATCAGGCAACCTGGTTCATTGGTTGACTGCGGTCCAATCAGATGTGTTCATACCAAGTCGACTGTACTGAGATTGTGCGGGCCAATGAGACCATTGGCGCTAACGCTGTGCTACGCCCTGTCTTACATTTGGCTGCAAGTCCTGCTTTTCCTCGTTGAGTTACAGCAAATTGAAACTGAATTTCAAACTTTTGAAAATGAAAATGGCCCAATCTCAGCCCTTGCTACCTTACCCTTGTCATAGCCATCATTTTTGAATGGCACGTGTCGGCGCGGTAGCTCATTTTTACATTCGCCCGGGCTCCCTATTCCTTTCCACCATCTGTCTTCCTCGACAACTTGATACTCGTACGACAGCTTCCTTTCTTACCTCAGTGAGAATTGGACCACCAGCCCCTGTTCATCATCATACCTCCTGTTTGCATTTGGTTCGCAATAATGAACGATGAGCACGAGGCAGCAGCTGAGGGTGTCACCTCAACTAAGAGCCCACAAGAACATACTATATATCGCGGTAAATCAGTCGAAGTTCCCTCAAAGCTAGCACTTCGCCGACAAAAGACTCATGTCGACGACAATCATTCAGTGGGGACTATTTCAACTTCATATTCCAAGGCTCATTCTGCTACCTTTTCGGCTCCTCAATTCGACTTCCATATGCATTCTCCATCGGCGACGACTCCAACCACATCTCGACCGCAAAGCCCTACCAGGCTGACCTCCGCACCGGGTCAAGCCATGGAGCTTGGTCTTGTTGGTATCGGAGAACATGTCAACACGTTGCCCTCAGGCAAGTTCATCGCAGATTTGCCGATTCTCTCTCGAGATCCTCGCCTACCAGAACCTCAACTCCCCCGTGACGGAGGTAGCACTCCAACTGGAATCTACAGCGCGGCTGAGTCACTGATTAGTTCCCGAGATTCCGACTCTGATTCTGATATCTGTCGCTCTGATCTTGATCTAGAGAGTGCTGCCAACATTGCTTTGTCCCGTTCTCTTGGGGTGCGTCTCAGCCGACTCAGTCACCCTGTTCGTGTCATTGAGGCGTTCTCCAAGTTTAAAGATCAGTGCGTCGAAATTCTGCAGCAAGAGGAAGCGTTTTCGACTATTGATTGGGATGACGACGGCTTTTCCTGCTATGATGTCGAGGAGGGAGATGCTAGCAACGGGAATTCGGCATTAGATGAGACGTCAAATCGAGCTCAGCAATCAGATTCAGGAACAAAGAAGCGACCTGCTGCAGAACAAGGCGGAGACGATGGCCACGACGAGATGGGCGAGAATGATGGTCAAGATCAGGGCCCAACAAGAAGAGGACGCAGCAAGAGACGAAAGATCGGGCGTACAGGGGGTTTCAGCTGTCCCTTTAGAAAACGTAACCCCTGGAGATTCAACGCTCGGGAATTCGATGCCTGTGCCAATAAGCCCTACAAGGATATGGCAGAATTGAAGTAAGTTCCAATGTTCTTGCAATACTCCTACAGCTGATGCGGAAATCGCATGTTTTCTCCTACGCTACTATCTTTGAACAAGACCTGACTCGGGATAATTACATAGGAGACATATTAGCGCCGATCACGGGAACCAATCTTGTACTTACTGTGGGCAACCACGAACGGCTGAAGACCACCCGCCTAAAGTTTGCCTTCGCAACCAGCAGCTGAACCCCAGTTGCGACCCAAGAGACCCCGAAGATGGCGTTGACAATCTCAAAGATGCGTCTCTCAGAAGCCGTGCTGCCGGCTGCAAAATCCAAACTTGGGCACAACTGTGGAATCTGCTTTTCCCCAATGATGAAGAGATACCTTCGCAAGGTATGTGGCACTGGCATTGTTCAGTAGAAAGCTGCTAAAAATGACTACTATAGCCTTTGATCCTGTGATAGAACACCACGAAATAGCCGCTGAGGGATGTGAGAAGTTTGTCCTGAAGACTGCCGAAGACATCTTCGATAGCGTACCGCAAAGTTCTGGTCTGTCATTACAGGCCATTCAGGAGATCCTACATAAAGGAACAAAGGTTCTTCTCCGAGGCTCCAAGTATGCTGACTATGGGCGTTGTAAGATGGTGGGAAACAATGATATGATCCAGATGTCAACACCCATGAAGGGCAAGTCTGTTGTTCAAGTGATTCACAGTCAGGTTGACGACGTTTTTGATGACGGCGAGTCTCCGGGTGTAATTGTCACACTACAATCTTCGCCCCAGGGCGCACCTGTGATATACAATAGTACATCAACTGGTTTGAAGTCTTCTCCAGTAAGTCCTTGCACCCGCTTCAGACTGTGGTCCTCATACTTACACTACAATGAAGGTCAGCCGTGAGCGATTGATTGCACCTAAAATTGAGCGAGCCCCTACGCCAAGTGTCACTCAGAAGGTGAGTTTCTGCCAAAAGTTGTCCTGTAAGTACTAATATGTCCAGACTTGTCTCGCAACTGGCGCATTGATTCAGGATGGGTCTCCCATCTCCACTGGAGGTCATCAGAACCCCAATGTCCCGGATCTGGCTGATGGGGATACTTTCTATTGGCCAGACGCGGACTTTCAAAACTGGAATGGGGGCTATGGGGACGAAAATATGTATATGGAAGGTGCAAACACCGAAGATTTCTGGCCGTCATACGAGGTCCCAGGTCCTAGGTAGATCAACCTCCTAGCCGTTTACTAGTTCGGAGAGTCACAGCTAGGCCGAATGATGGTGTCATCTTTCATTCAACGTATAGGTGGTCATGTGTAGTGATTTCATTTAGATGCTTTTGTATTTTAAGTACCTTCATTACGGGCCGTCCGTCGAATCTTACACTGTAGACGGACGTGTGACTTAGACTATTATGTGTATATCATTGAACTAGAGGCGGATAAACAATGCTTTCGCAGAACCCTCCACGGGTCCATATCTCTCTCGCCTGATCTTCTCCTTCTATCTCTGCCGCGCATGTTATAGCCATTTACAAACCGGGCCTGCGGATATGCACCAACAGATTGCCGTTACCCCACGCAAACTCTTGGCCCTGGACAGTGTTGTCCGCGCGAGTGCAGCTGTCCATAATAAGACCGCCGGCACGGGCAACGTCGTTACTGTGGCAAAGGTATCAGTATTATGTATCTCGTGTCTCACAACTACGAGAACAGGGGCCAGTTCTTACCAAGCCGAAGAAGTAGAGGCCGCGTTAGTGCCTCCCTTGACACCAGTGATTTGAGCATTGCCAAGGAGACAGAAGACAGAGACAGACGAAACAACGCAGGCCTGGCTGCCCTTGCGGGCAAGGTCGTTGATGCAAGAGACCGCGTCGGGGACCTGGTTTGAAACTATGTCAGCGGTCTTGATACTATCAAGCCAGGATGCTGCAAGAGAGAAAGGGACATACGGAGGCTTCAGTGCCGGCAACAGTGTTGCAAGTGACGCGCTTCTGAAGAAGGCCGTTGGTTGCAGTGGTGCCGTCGGACTCGGTGGCGTTGACAGATTCTCTCCAGGCCTCGACGGCTTGGCTGGGAGTCAAGTTGTCTCCTTCGGGGTTGGCAATAATGCCATCGACCCACTTGGCGAAGGAGAAGACTTCCGCGGCATCAGACTGGGTCGCGGTGGGGATGGCTCCAATGAAGGGAGCCGCGGCCAGGACAGCCAGCGTAGAGAGGGCGACGTTGACCATGTTGAAGAATTGAGCGAGCTCTGAGCTTGAGTCTTGATGAGATGGGTGCCAGTGCTGAGAGTAGAAATCTAGACATTGGGAATGGCTTGGTCTTTTATAGCTAATTACGAGAGCAGACGGATATCTCTTCGGTGAAGCCTTTCGTTTGGGACAAGTCTCGAAACGGGTCTCGGCAGAGCTGCATGCTTGACCAAAGTCCTTTTCAAAAGCCTCAACCGAGATTTATTCTCCACAAAGCTTGAAGTAAGGTTACATGTAAGCTCACTAAACACAGGGGTCTCGGTCATGTCGGCTCAGCCTTGTAGGTAAACTGCACGACTATTCTTCGCGATGGCCTATCGCAAGAATTCCCGACCATTTGGTCGAGGATAACCAGGCCTTCCAGACAACAACGGCGTTATGTGAGCCTCACTATGAGCGGACAAGTGCGCACAAGCTTGCAATTTGCTTCTTCGGATGCATGAAAGACCCGAGATCACGTCGCCAACAGTTCTCCCAGACAATCATAGAGTATCTACCCTGCGAAGATATCGAGGCAGCAATCCGCTTCAGGATGTATCTTCAGTATAGCCCTCTAAACCCATGAACGTCCGAACGGCAGTGTCTGTTTTGTTCCTTCAGAGCTTAGTCTGAGTGAGTAATGTTACTTGTCAAGTGCCGTAGTGAAGAATAGGAAGGTCGCGGAAAGAAACCTAGCAAGGCAGAAGCTTGAGTCCACTTAGCTTTCGGGAATACTAACCGAGAAAGATCAGCATGCGGTCGGCAAACTATCATATGCAGGGAAAGCGGGCCTGGAAATATGGAACTCAGAGGAACGACCCATGAATGATACTAATTATCATGAACCAAAGTCCCTATCTAAAAGCGAGACGATGTGACCTCCAGTAATTGGATTTTAAGCGTGTTACTTGGCGGATTCATGAGAGACTTGGTCGGTGCTCTCCTGCGGGCCGTAAGACTGGGTCACGTTGTGGAATATGGAGCATCGGGCGGTCGGGCGGCCGCCTCCAATGCCTCGATTTTTAGTCCAGTTCGGGAAGTGATGCTGACGCTTCTCATGGTCGCGATACCAAGCAGAATGGGGTTATTGCGAAGATTATGGGAAAGAAGGCTGCCTAGTCCTTCGCATATCGGAAAGCACCAGAGTTGTGGAGTGCGACTCCGTTCTCTCACAGGATGCTTGACGCAGCTTATAACGAGATATCAGACGACGAGAGAGCGGGGCCTAAAAGTTTGTGAGAGTTTTCAGGCGGTGTAACCGATCAAATGGGACTTTCGAGAACCGGTGCCCGGGCCTTTGAGTCTAGACTCTAAGACTTATCACATCCCAAAGGAGCCCCAATAATATTCGCGGAGTTTCGCTTGTGATGGCATTAATCGCTGGTCATGAAATATGATCTACTTGCTTCCCTCCTTCGAAGCAATCGCAGACTTGATGTGCAGCTCGAAATCCCCATCCTGCTCAGCAAAGAAGCTATGACAGCGTTAGACCCAACCCACAATTCGCAAGAAACAGACCTCACTAACCTTCGAATCATGAAATTGACCCTCTTAATGCTCGTCAAATTTAGCGGCGCAGTATCATTCTGAACCCGTCCGCGGAAAGTAGGCACAAACGCGCTAAACGACATCACCACCTTCTCAACCGCGCCGTCCGTGTGGTTCACCGCCGGGATCTGGAAGTCAAACTCCCAGCTCACGCCAGACTGCTCCACGCCGTTCACGGGCGGCGGCACCGTATCTTTCAAGTTGAATGTGTATTTCTTGCCGTCCGTGAACGGGATCTCGAGGGTGATGGTATCGTATGCCGAGATGTCGAGGCTCGGCCAGTCGTCGACGGTGCGCTGGGACGCGAAGCCCGCGCCGCCGAGCGTCGCGTAGTCGAGGTTGCCGTGGAAGTTTGCAATCGACTGCGCGAACGGGTTGCCGGCGGCGCCGGCTTCGATGATGTCGAGGGTGGAATGACTCGCGCCGTTGCGGACTGTGTCGTCGGAGGCGATCCATTGGCTCTTGTCCCAGGGCGTGAAGAGGGCCGCTGAGGCCAGGGCGCGGAAGGCGACGGGGATGTGCATGATTGCTGGCAGGTGAACGGGTGCGATGGATGGCTGGTGTGAGGAAACGAGAGACGAAGGTTGGATCAGCAGCGGAATCGTGGGATGGTGTATGAATACCAGATGGCTGGGCACGTCGCTTATTTAACGCTGGATCGTCGTCATTGTCCGTGTTCGCTTGTCATGTTTACTAAACTTTGGCTGCCAAGATTCACGCTCCTTTCTTGCGTGCCCCTCGGAGCAATCAAGGGTTCCGGAGCAGTCCATCGTGGGTTCATTTACATGGTAAACTCTATTCTCGCGTTGTCAAATCCCAGGCTGGCGGTTCACCCGAAATGTGGAGAGTGCGCAGCAACGAAATGTCATGGATCTGGGATCTTCGCTTTCGTTACTTTCGTCAACAAGACGAACACAGCCGCCAAGCGCGCGCCGGTAGTGCCGAGGACGTCTAGGCATGTCGATTGAACCCCCTTTGAAACCCCTACGGATAATGATGGCGCGTTTAAGACATCCGCCTGCCGATTGATCAAGCCCTAACCGGTGATATCAGAGGCATTCCTCGGAAGATGGGACGATATTGGCGGCCGGGAACTGATGTGCAAAAGCCAGAGCAAGTTTCTTGTCAGTGAGTGCCAAAAAGCCCGTTCCGCAATGTCTTGGCCCTTGGCTAGTCATGCCACCGTCATCAGTCACAATTGGCGAAGGCACGTCAATGGTTAAAACATGGTGTTATGCTATTTGCTGTTGTTTTCCTATCGTACAATGCCCAGGCCATCACCTCGAACCGTCCAACCGCCGGATCCTCCTGGATCAGCCTGAATGAAAGAAAGTCGTTTCTCATACCAAATCGTGATGAAAGTCAGAGCCTCCAGCTCATTCCAAAGAAAACACAAAACTTTTGATTGTCCCGAACCTGATGAAACAAAACCATGAAACCACAAAACTGTCTACCACGCCTCAGGTCAGTACTCATGTTCGGAGCTCCGAGCAAGAAAAGGCTTGGATGAGAACCGAAGATGGCGAGATCTTGGCCCACGTCGTATTGAGACTAGATCAAACTTCAAGAGTTATCCTGAGTCTTGTGGGCGTGACGTTCTTTACGGCCATGAGTCTTGGTACGGCCGCCGCTACGACCTTGCGCGTGACCCTGAGCAGGGTTCTGAGCAGTATCTTGAGCATGAACATGACCGCGGTTCTTGCCACGACCCTTGGTCTGACCTTCAACGTGAACCTGATCACGGTCCTGAGTGTGGTTCCGAGCGTGACCCTGAGCACCGCCGTTGCCTCGACCGCCACCACGACCGCCACCACGACCGCGACCATTAGTCTGACTACGTCCGCCGCCGTGAGCTCGACCAACACTACCGGCATGGCCGTGAGTATTCTCGAGGGTAGCATCAGCGATATCGTCACCGCGCTGGGCCTGGACACGCTTCGGCTGACGGTTGCCAGCCTTGTGGTTGGGTTGAACCTCGACCATGTTATCCCGATCACGGTCTCCTTCGCCCTTGCCACCTCCAGTATGGGTGATCTTGTTCTTGCCCTGCTTCTTGGAGGTAGCACGCTTGCCAAGGTCACTCTTGCCAGTGACCGGGTGAACCTTGGCGCCGGGGATGAAGGTACGGTACTGAGTAGTGTTCTTGTGCTGAACCTGCTCGACGATGGCGCGGAGACGGGCGAGGCGGGTGCGGTTGTCTTCCTGCTCCTCAACGAAAGGGAACAGCTTGATGCGGTCAGCAATTGAGCACATGTTGTCGACACGACCGTTTCTGATGTCCTTCTGTTGCTTGGTTGAGTTCTCGAAGACGAGCTGATCGGTGATGAACAGCTTCTTGGCGTGGTCAAATCTGACCCACTCACGACCGATGATGATCTCCGACTCCGAATCCCAGACAATGTGGCGAGAGACGTTCCACTCTGAAATGAACTTGGGGCTCATGATGTTCCAGAAATGCTGAACGAGGGATGGGGTGTGTCTGGTGAACCAGTAGAAGCTCTCCGAGATAGCGTCTCTGATGAGGTGCTCATCATCGTGACCGGTAGAGAAGAGGTCGAAGGCAGCCATGTAGTCGAGCATGAAGTCGACGTGGAACATCATGTCCCAGTTGGAATCCTCGTACTTGAGGGTGTTCCAGTTCTGCTTGGTACGGGCCAGCAAGGTCATGAACATGTGTCTGACGATGCAGAGAAGCGAGCGGTGAAGGAGACGATCGCAGAGAATGCAGACCTCAGCCATGGTCTTGAGCTTGATTTTAGGGATCTCCAGGTGAGCTCGCTTGAAGGCCTCGGGGTCGTTTGCGTTGATGAGATCATCGAACAGAGAGAAGGGAACGACCTTGCTACCGAAAGACTTTATCTCAAAGTACCAGCCGTGAGTGAGTTGAAGGTAGAGTTTGAGAGCCTTGGAATCAATGTCATCGAAGAAGATCTCCTGGTTGTAGGACTCCTTGAAGAAGCCGAGGAGACAGGCATCGAAGTACAAGGATCCAGCGGTGATGATCTCGCGGAAGACAACGAAGATGGTGTCTCCACAGTAGATGTGGACGAACTCGTCCTCGGAGCTATCACAGGTATGTCAGAACACGCGCAAGCATAGGATCGGGTCAACTTACATGTCAAGGACCTTTTTGCTGTCGCCAGCCGCAACAGCTTTCTTGTTGTGATCCTCGACCATCGGGCGCGAGGTAATGCGGTAGTCGATGACCTTCTCCATTTCGAGCGATGATTCGAGCGTCTAAGCTGTAATTTGGTGTAAACTAGGTAGTTCGGGTATGTAGAGAGATGAAAACAACGGCGCGGATCCGCGGTAGAGATCCGAATCCGCAGTAGATGATACTAAGGAGAGGAAGCAGAGGGAAGATTGTGTTGGAACGGGTAGTTTCGTGGGATTTTCCTCTACCCTGAGGTGTTGTTTGTGGGAGAGGCAAAGAGAAGCAGGTGGATGTTGACAAAAGAAGAGTCTGTACCTGCCTTACAATGCCGTGTTGAAAGACAACAAGCGAGCCAGGCAAGGTCAGAAGGCCTACAGAGGGATATAGGTCCAAAAGGAGCGTTGGGGGCGTGGACAAGTGAATTGGTCTGATCTTAACCCTGTTCAAGGCACAAGGCGTGGGAGGCGTGAAGTCATAATTGCCCATGGGAAGTGGTCGGACACGGTGCCGTAGCCTTCCGGGCTGGCCCCACTTGTCGCCGAAGTGACCTCCGGTAGGCTCCGGATACACTCAGGAACTGCCTTTGTGTAGTCCCGGGTGAAAAGAACAAGGAGACAGACTGGCCACTATTGACTCATTCGCGAGCCTTCAGATAAGAGAAAACACTGCAAAACTTGTGAGAGAAGGAGCATAGCTTCAATAAGCCGCTCGCCGCCTGCCGCCTGGGTTGCTGTCTCTAGCATAGCACCCTCAGGGTCTTACGAGCTGGAGATATAGAAAATCGCCCAATATTGGACTCAGGAGACGTAAGGCTGGCAGATTGCATCAGGATTCTACCAGGAATCAAATGACCCAATACGCGAAGCTCTGCCTCATCATTAGGTCGGAATTTTGTCAGTTGAGTAGACTAAAAGGATGACTACTAGGTACTTTGCATGTTGAGGGCCCGAAGTGCACTGTCCGTCCCCCAGAACTTTGAATGAGATACAAGGGACCACCCTCCGAAGCGGATATGGAACTTGGCAGACAGTGCTAGAGCTCCAATGGACTTCTCAAGGTCTTTCCACATGCTTCTTTCTTTTCTTTGAGTAATTCTTCAAGAGCAGGCGGGAATCAAAACGTTGCTTGTGGTACGTACCCGAAGGAAGCCGATTTCACTGTGTGTACGTCTCGACCATCGCCACTCCACACAGTGAGGGGAGCACGACCCCTCCACATCCTTCCCAGTGCTTGCCTCGATGAAATGGAAGAACAATCTCGAAGCTGGCTACCTCTGCAAGTCACTCAACTTATGAAGGCGCAACCGCCAAGTAGCAGACTACCTCTTCTTCTTGGGACTACTTCCGCGTTGACCCTTTGGAAGCCAGGTATCTCTATGGACTAGCTGTTGAGTCAGCCGCCTCCGATTGAGTCATCCAAGTCCAAGCACCGTCAGCTCCAGGCGCCCGAGTTGCTCACTGTCTAAAGCATTGGCATCCCCAAGTTATATCAACGCAACTCTGTTCGAGCTTCTTATGGAGTGTCGTTCAAGGATTTCAACACTTTGGCCACCCTGTTCTGGCTGTTGTCTTACACTACTTCTCGCGCTCATCGCCCAAAGTTCATCTGCAAACAGCGACGTTGGCCAAGGTATGAGTATCGCACCTTTCGCCATGGATGGAGGCTAAGTAGTGCAGACTAGATCAAACTTTCTCCGGCCATCTGGCCCGCCATTATCGCAATGGGAGGTTCTGCCTTCGCATCTGGGGATGACCCTCTGGACACACCACGAATGCCCGCCGCAGTGTACGAACGAGCCAAGGCCGAATGTTTCGCTGCACTGCGGGAGCTGTACCTCTGTGTGGCTAGCCCTATTGAAGGACCCGAGAAGCAAGACTATGGAGACATTGACATCCTAGTCGCCTGGGAGAGAGCACCCTTCATCGGGAATTGCGGTGGGAAGAGAGCACCAAAGTCAACTCCTAGACGACAAGAAGAACGGGAAGATGACGAAGCGTGGTTCGAGATGGCCAACGACTATGGCGAGGGACAGGAAAGAACACCGGGCCATTCAATCTTGTCTAAGGACGAGGCACGCAAGGCCATCTTTGCCGCCCTCGGTGCCAAGCGCGCCATCTACAATTCCGGGGGCGACAACTATGCCATCCCATGGCCGGTAACAGATAAGGAGATGGATGCAGATGAACCCAAGCGGTTTATCCAAGTCGACGTAACCATCTGCAGTTCACTTCAGCAAGTACAATGGCTTCTATTCAAGCACGCCCACGGCGATCTTTGGATCATCATGCAGACCATCATTCAACCACGCGGGTTGACTGTGGACGACTACTCCATGTCACTGCGGAACAACGATATTGAAAGATACGAGAGATACAGTAAGAAGTGGTCCAAGGTGCATGTCTCGAGGGACCCTGCCGAGGTACTCGTCTTTTTGGGCCTTAATGTGGAGAGGTTCTCGGAGCCCTTTGCGACTCGAAACGAGATGTACGAGTACATTGCATCCTGCCGGTTCTTCTGCATCGAGACCAATCACGGCCGACACAACTACCCCGACCCAACGAACCCGGCAATGATCATGGAGCTTGTGGAGTCAGAGGGCAAGGGTAACAACATCATGGACACTGGCACCGCGGGAGAGCCCGCGACGAAGAAGCTCAAGAGTAGGAACAAGATAAAACGGCCCGCCTTCCGCCAATATTTTGACGAATTCCTCCCACGCTGCCGAGCAGAGGGACGGTACGCGGGACGACCGGATCTATACTACTGGGACGTTCACCAACAAGCCTTTGCCATTTGGGGCAACTTTCAACCCATGATGTCGCGCCAATGCATGCGGCTCATCATAAGCCTCGGGGAGGACAGGGTTCGGGCAAAGATCAAGGAAGTCTGCCAAAGATTGGTCCCTGGCACAGATGCTAAGGACAACCAGTACCGCGGCTTGCTGAACAAGGCGTTTAAGAAGATCATCATAGACGGTGACCTGTCATATGGCGTCAAGCCAGAGGAGAACGAGGAATTCAGGGACGGCATGGGTCAGATGATTAAGGTCCAGCCCGAGAAGTTCATTCTCAAGCATCACGAGGAGGTTGGGAAGGCGGCTGTAGCTGAGCACGAGCGGAAGTTTGAGGAGCATAAACGGTTGAAGGAGGAGCAGAAGACCAACAGCATTCTCTGACGTTGGGTATGGATATGGTTGTGTATTTCAAAGATACCACTAGCGTCATTGGGAAGAGAGAGACGCTCTGCAATCGAAGCTGTTCTCACCACCTCTGTCCTCTCTCCCACTTTTCAAAGTCGTCCTTTCCCACTATCTCATTCAACACAGTTTAAAGGCATCAGAGCCCTTTCATCAGTCCGTTAGCCTCAGTACCTCGCTCCCGCTCTGCGCAGAATCTCCAGAAGAATTCAAAGACTGGTCCGATCCCCAGCTTTTCTGCAACATATCTCTGATCTTGACCATCTCAATGTCTGAAACGCCGGAAGTAAAAGCTCGCTCTTCGGGAAGATCCAGCATCCCAGCCACCATTGCCCGCTCTAGTCCGGCCATCAGATGTTGCATGAGGGTTCGAGGGTAAAGATTGTACGACGAAACGTGGGACGGCAGTTCTGTGATGTGCGAAGCCTGAAGCATTTCCACAGAATCATAACCGACATCAAATTTGCAGCCTTTTGTGGTCGTCGATGAGAATCTCTTCCAAGACACAAGTAGTAGGAAGATGGAAACTGACCTCGAACATTCTCGGCAAGCTGGAGAAATTCGTTCCAGGTGGCCTTGTCCCCCACGACAATTGTCTCCTCCTGCCACTTGTCCGCATTCAACATCATTGCCACAACGTTGGCTACGTCGTACGTGTAGGTGAATGTGATGACATCGTTTCCTGTGCCTGGAATTCTGGCAATTTTGTTGGCAACATCAACGGCCACCAAAAATGGGGGTAAGTGGGTTTTGACATGCGGCATCCCGTAATAATCAAGGAAGTAGCCGACGGTGAAAGAAGACCACTCCAAAGTTGTCGTCCTCAACAGTTTCATGGCAGCCAGCTTGTATTTGACCCACGGCATGTATTCAATGATTCTTTAGCTTCATTAACTTCTACTCAAGCGGAGAGGGTAATCTTTTGTAGCTCACCCGTCTGTGATCGGCGTTCCCCAGTTACTGGTAATGAAACGTGTGGTCGTGGTGGAATGATTCGCAGCGCTGATCAAATTCATTTCAGCTGCCATAGCAGAATCAGTGGTTAGACTTAAGCAGGAAATGACAGTGTGGATTTTGTTGTTCTCTAGAAGACATTGAAGATGATTCGCATCGTCATAATCCACAACGAGTGAGTGAACTTGATCAACATCGGTTTGAGGCGCCTAGTGCTCATACGTGGGTCAGGATAATAATATTCTGGCTGGCGGAAACAAAGCTCCGTACCTTGCGGCCTATCACGTAAACCTGATGTCTTCCCTGGAGTTTGAGAACTTCTGTCACTGTTTGACCAAAGTTGCCGAAGCCGCCGGCAATTGCGACATTCACCATCTTGATGAAAGAAAGACGTCGAGGAGTGGTGTCTTGTTGTTGGGATACTGCTGGGATAGTTCCTTTGGTAGGATCACCAGAAGTTATATATCCGATGTGTGAAAGGACCAATCCTGGGTGGATTTACACAATCATTTATTCAAGATCGCAGAAACTGAATTAGATGGACAAGTCTGATTCCGAAATTTGTATAGCATTGTGTCATATGAAGTGACAGAATTTGTCAGGTGGGATGTTGAGATGGTTGAGTGCTTGACTAAGATTGGGCGGAGCGGGATCTTCCCAGTGCCTGTATGTGCTCCTGAGGGCTGCTCGAATCCAGCCATTCAGGAAACTATCCCAGGCTACTTACCAAACTGTGCCCTGTGTGCAAAGATTGGGAGCATTCGAGATCAGGCATCGGCGATACGTTTGTTACTGGTTGGTAGGCAAGAGGTGGGATTTGTCACGGGTTGGTTTGAAGGTTTGTCAGGTGGGATTGGAAAAAGTCATCTGCGGAGTTTGAGGCGCTGCGGAGTGGGGATGTTGGTTTGTCAGGTGGGATGAAATCTACCATTGCTTGACCCATTTCCACTATCGGCCGCTCAACCTTCAACCTGAGAAACGTCCCTCAAGTTCTACGGTCAATCAACGACGCAGCATAGACTACAATGACTTACCAATGTACCTATCCAGGATGTTCTCGCAGCTATATCCGAAGAGAGCACCTCCGACGGCATATGCGAAACCATGCTAATGAGCAGCTACACTGGTGTCCCCTTTGTCCCTCTAAGTTTAACCGCAAGTAAGGAGAATCCAGTTTGTGCCCTATATTAGGACAAAAATTCTCATCGCGATCCTAGAGACACTCTGAGCCGTCACTTGAACGAGCTTCATTGCCACGCCGCTACGACTTCAACCCGTTCGAACCAGGAGCCGCATCGCGTTTGTGAAGAAAGAAAGCCCCCTGCATTACCTTTCTACCTGCCTCAAGAGCAAATCACAAGTCGCCAATTACACAACTATTTCAATATGTTTCATCCAGAATGGCCAATCCTGCACAAAGAGACATTCATATCATGCCCTCAGCCACCCGAATTGGTCCGGGCGGTTACCATGGTGGGTTACTGGATAGAGCGTACAACGGTACCTGAGTCGCAGAGGAAAGCCGAACACGACCATGACATTCTGATGGGCTGGGTAGACAACAAACTGGTAGGTGTAACGCTTTTCTGATCTCATCAACCTTTCTCCTTCGTCTTCGCTCTCTTTAGTTGCTTGACTCTTGCCTCTAGTTCTAACAGCCGCTATTAGTTACCCTTGCTTAGATCAATACCAACATCCACCAAACCCTATCGAGACTTGCCATCTGCAGCTCTTTTCATTGTCCAAACGACATTCATTGTCATTGCATTCTCCGCATCGAGATTCAATTCTCCGACTCCTTTAATAATGACAAACCTCTGGTATCTAATAACGACCCTGAAGAAGATCGGCGCATATCAGGATTCGAAGGTAGACTGCATAGCTCAGTCAGGGACAACCCCACAACAAAAGTTCCTCCTACGAGAACATTACCGACGGCAAGCAAAACGTATCCTACTCCCCACAGACTGATTTCTCATGTGGTAAACAGACTTGGTTTACTTTCTTTCAAATTACATGTCCTTGTTTGGTCTCAGTTCCTCCGCAAGAACCCGAAGCTTAGAATGTCGCGTGCTATTATGCCCGAGATGCTGGATTTGCACATTCCCTGCCCGCAACTTGATTGGGATCAGCCACTTTCTTCGTTGCCCGAACACATACTTTCTGGGCAATATCAAGGCATTCCTGTGTGTGGGATGTTTGATCAAGCTGTAACTCAGCGGACCCTTGGCCCCTTATCGTCGGTAGTCCTGTGGGACTCCATGCTTGGATTATGCTTGGATGCATGCGTGCGCCTTGGAAAGACTATCACCATCGGGGTTCGGAATTAGCTTGGAGAACACTGAATTTGAAATTTGACCTTAACCTCGGTGGGCAAGGGTTGTTGATACGAGTCGCAGTGTCCGATGGTACAAGCATGGTCGAATTGGGGTTAACAGATTTACTTCTTTATGACAATCAAAGCATCCAGACGAGTCAACACAGGAATAGTATCACGGTGAGTGGGTTAAGTACAATGAAGGCAGCTGAGGTCTTCAAGATAATTTGCATTACAGGGAACCGTGTCGATCAGAGCATTACTTCAAGAGAGTTGATGCTATGACGGCGCCTTTATAGCTAAGATTCTACCATTTTAACACGGAGGATTGTTCGTTGTTCAGTAGAAATACCTTACCTGACTTATACCACGATGAGAGGCTATTGATGATTTTAGCTGTGGTCTACTGGACAGGACAGTGTTTTGCCATAGCTCACGCCTTTGCATCATCTTCAACACTAACTTTCCTCACGACTCGAACAGCATATCGCGTTTTGGCAGGAGAATTAAGGGAAAGGGATGCTAAAACCCAACATACTCCACGTTTTTTTTCGGTTTTCAGGGGAAAAGAAGAACCAGGACTCTTCATCTCAGATAGATGGCTTCATAGGCCTTCATCAAGAAGGCATCGCCTGGGCATACTTACTCATTCGCAAAGCGTGATGCCATGTTAATCTGTCTACTCATGATATTGTACTCTCCTCACCTTCCTGTGAGGAGCAGAATGAGATCAGAAGATATGTGATGTCACAAGACATAAGTATTCCCTGAAGCATTGTAGCCCTTATATCTTTATGTCGGCGAGCCTCGCTTCCCGGTACCACTCTCGCAATAACCATGCCACTATTCCTGCTGAAAAACACGTCTAAGAACAGGCAGGAACAAACACAGATCATCGGAGTAGTGAGCGCGAGCTAAAGCTTGCGAGCTTAGAGATATATAGCCGCTCCTTAAAGTAATGGCCGTATGCCACTGTTAACTTCGCAGTACCATGCATTATAGAGCTTCTTCTTTTACCATCCCGATTATGATGCCCTTGAATCGGCCTGCAATCCCACCTGGCACAAGCCAGCCCGGCCTCGGCCTTCCGCTTGGTCTTTCTTGCCGCGCCATCGAGAACATACTCCAAGCACCCAAGACACAATTCTTCCAGCCCCCTTGGAAGGTGGCTTGCAAAAGCAAAACGCTACAAAGCTAGACCAAGCAAAGGCGAGCCCCCAATGCCACGTTCCCGCAGCGACCACAACATTCTCCCAAGGAGCTATCGGGTTTCTAAGCTCAAATCACACGATCCTCGTAGAATTTCTCCCACGCCAGTCACCAAACATCCAGCCACACATCACTCTGTGCGACGCTGGCATGTGGTGTCTCAAACATCTGGCTTACCTAGCTCGCCTAGCCCACACCCTCAGCCCTAGGAAAAGGAAGTGAATTGCACTCCGGATGGATCCTGCGCACAGGTTCCCGCATATCGTTTCCGACGGAAGGACGCCATCACTGATCAGTGGTCCCATCTACTATCGTCGTCGCGAAGATGGGTCGGGGACGACAAATCCACCACGTCGCAACAAGACCGGTCCCGGCCTTCGCCTCGTCCATCAACCATCAAGCCGTTCGCCCGGCTAGCTCAATCGGTAGAGCGTGAGACTCTTAATCTCAAGGTTGTGGGTTCGACCCGTAAGTGCTTACAATCCCTCATCTAGGCATGAGCTTCGCAGCTAACACATTCCAGCCACGTCGGGCTCAATTCCCGTCAGCGATTGACATCAGATTCTTTTTTTGCCCATCGGCTTTCGGCTTGCTTTTTCGTCAATATTTGTGTGCCCCACTGAGGACCAGCATTATCGGCCAGGAGTTGAATAACGGAGCCTAGAATAGGCGTCGAGGAAGCTTTGGCAGTCGCTGAACGTTCGACGGTCGGTACTCATTAGGATTGATGAATAGGAAGGAAGTTTGCGAATGTCGGCGAAATGAACTTAAGAGAGTAATATCCATCTTCTGGTCAAGTATGGGTTGCGAACGTGTCTATTTGGAAATGTGGTGTTGGCCTGCAAATGTCAAATGACGTTGAATTTCTGCCTCGGCAACCAGGTCTCAGTGACTTAGCAACAGTGACACAGAAAATTGAATGCCCAGTTTAGTTGAACCCAAATTGGGCTCATCAAACCCCAACATGTCGCTGGAGATGGGGCGCTAGTAAGCAAAGGTGCAGCAGGATGCCCATGCAATCCTGCCAGGGGTAATGCGAGATATTGCTTTTCATACCACCAAGAGATCACAAGCGGTGAGACAGCTCAGATCCAATACCCGGGATGGATGGTCGAGAGCTGGATGGCCAGGCCAGGTCTACCGTCCATCGACTGCAAAAAGCATGGCGTCGAGAAACTGCCCGACAGGTTGGTTGCCAGTGCCAGCCACAACGTTTTTGCAACGCGGACGGTTGTTCTGGTGAAGGTTGATATTTGGGGGCCGGGACGTGCTGGCAGCGGGATGGCGGAAGCTATCCGGACGCCAGGCTCAAGCTCCGAAGCACTGCGGAATGGTGAGCTCCAAGCCTCCAACAGCGCGGTACGTACCATGTGTAAGCATCATGGAGACGATTGGCTGATGATGGGAAGTGCGCAGTAATTTGCCATTCATAGACTCAATTTCCATAGTTCACCTTAGCCTGACAAGCGGTGCTAGCGGTCTCGAACCAGTCAAACAAAGTTGCCAACGGTACGGAGAAACACTGGCTGGCTGGTGATCTGAGGTGCATTCTTGATCAGTTGAGGACCTTGAGGCTTGAGGTAGGTATTCCGTCGATGGGGAGTGACAGGCAGTGCCTTGCATATCAACAGGGGGCAGTGGGTCGTGCGCCCAGCGAGCACCGGGGATCCGAGCCGCTCTGCCCCTTGTGTTGTGGCTTTCAATATACAACACTGGCTAGAATCGTGATAGGTTCTTGTCGACACCGAGCTGAGGCGCTACGGCTCTTTCAGGCCTCTGGACAGCCTCTACATCAAAAGTCGGTAAATGTTTGGCTCGCATTGCCTGGATAGACATCAGCGGATGACTTTGTGATGGTACCATGTGCAGGAAAGTATCCGTAGGCAGGCAGAAATGAGGCGCCTGCGAGACGTGATCAAATTTGCTGATGCATCTGGATAATGTGCCCCTGGGGAGTACTGCCATGTCACCAAGACAGGATTTCTAATAGCCGGAGTTGCTCACGGGAGCAAGGCTTTGTGCTGGGGACTTAACTATCTGTGCAGAGTACCTCGGCCTAGTGCATGCTGCATATGCAGGCTGCACGTCTGGGAGGCCCTGGGGAATCTTGGTAATCCAGCATTCGGGATTCCCACACCAATCGTCGTTTGGGGTCCTCCGGTGTGATGGTGCACAAGAACATGCAAGGTCTCTATTACGGTTTGCTGAACGCAGAACGACGCATCCATCTCGTCACCAAGTTCGAACCACCACACCCACTCAAGCAGCGTCGGCCGAGCCGCAGCCTTGTGAGTCAAAACGAGATACTACATTGCATAGAAAGAAGAAGCAACTTGCATTCTCGTGACACTCGCGTCAAAGCCAATGGGCATGGTGACGGATGCCACATCCACTTGTTTGACTGGGAATGCCGTCCGCCAGAGCGAAGTCCGCTGCGTAGCCGGTGGAAAAGCAGACATGACTGGATGGCGACTATGCCGGAGTTCCCTGCGCCCCATGGCCGTGAATACGATAGCCAGCGATTCGGCGAGCGCCATTGACTGTCAGATACGAAGTGCTCTTGTCAAGACTGGAGCCTTAAGGGCTCGCCGTCGCCTCTTGCTTGTGAACCTAGGCAACCTGTCCGGTGAGTGAAGATGATGAATTAGGAGTGCGGCTTGTGCAACAAGTGTGCATGGTAATGGTAGGAGCCTCTCCAGGCATCATGGGCCGAGGCAGGCGGAGCAGTCGACATGGTTTAAAGGTCCGCAACTCCCGTCCGCAAGAAAGGATGCTGAGTTGGGACCCATTTCCTTCGAAATCCCCACGGATCCGCGAATACGCTCGCGCCATCATTCGACGCTGGCTTGCACGAGTGAAGCCGTTTCCAGCGCACCACACCGGTCTCATTCATTGTTGCTTGGGGCATCACCTGGCCGGCATTGAGAAACAGACAGACAGGGCGTGACAGGGTGCGTAGGTTGGACAGGCAAACCGGCCGGTTGGTTGGCCTGGGCATCTGGAGCTTGGTGTATCCACCCCTTTCTTGCGTCTCATTCCAGGTGTTTGCAACATCTGGAACCTTGATGGGCATCTGAGTCAAGACAGAGACCTCAACAGTTGATCCAAATATCTACCATCGAGCTGGTCGCACGCGAGGCAAAGCGTCTGTTTTCATTCGTTACCTGTTCTCTTTCATTCGTTAGACATTGGACAGTATCAAGCCAAACGACATCAGCGACGAACCCATCACCAGCCGGTGAAACAAACATCAACCGGGAGGCTACAGCGATATCGACAGCGTGTAATTGATTGCCGGGTATCTCGCCCGCCACAGACACACGGTGACCGGGGTCTGAGAAGCGTAGCACCGCGCTTGGGTAACACGAACTTCTGCCCTCGAGACCTTCTCTTATTGTCTCCACGTCACTTCTGTGCTTCGTCTTCAGCCAGCGAAAGCTCTACCACCTTCGGCATTCCATCTAAATTTCGAAGGGTCACGATCCTATATCGCAGTGTACTCGAGCTCGATTGCATAGCTGTCCAAGGTCGTTCTTTGTTGTTCTCGGTGGCGGCTTGTCAAACGGCACAGAGGGAGACGACTAGAGAAATCTGTGGACAAGACCATCCGGAGTTCCAGCATAAATTGCCTTGGGTTTAAGGCAACGCAAAATAGACGACAAGAAAGAGGCGAATTGAGACGAGGGAGCGAGACTCCAGGAGAAGTTCTTGCAGAATTGGAGACGCGTCGTCCCTGTCCCTGTCATCCCGGGTTTGGGAGTGTCGTGTCCAGTTTGGTGTTACACGAAAGACTCTGCTCGATTTTCGGCTCCGGCCGCCACACAAGCATCTCGCAAGCTCTCAGCAAGCAACAGCGGCACTGGCAGTGTCAGCAACAGCAACAGCACCTCAACAGCCAGCGGCAAGTAGTACCTTAGCTTACTGAGCACCAACGCAGGGCGAGCAGCAAATAAACGACGGGAGAGACCTGAGTGTGTTGCTTGGAGACTTGCATCACGCATTTGCCCATTTCCCCCGCCAATTCCCCCCACGCCTGCGCGACCGGACTGGGCCATTACATTTCGGGAGAGAATTTTCGAGGTGCCTACCTGCCTTGCCTGTACAGGTTTCAGGGAGAGGAAGGAGCCGACTGGCTGACGTACAACGGACTCTGTGCCTGCCCCTTCAAGTTTCCACAGATACGCTTTCCAGTTCCTGCTCTTTCTGCAAGGCACCTTGACCACACGTCACCTTCCTTTTACCAACAGACCGAAGGTGTAGAGGAAGGTGTGCATCAGACTGAGCCCAAGGCTGCTTCCCTCTTCTGCGAAAGTACTTACTTTCTTGCCTTCAAACTTCCCGGAGTCCTTCCTCACCAAAACGGTGAACCGAGAAAGGGAAGGAGACGATCTGATACCTGAACCCTGCAGTTACCAGCCAGTTCCTCCCTCTTTCTGAGACGTTCTCGCCCCAGCTGGAGTAGTTGGTTCACGTTCCCTCCGCTTAGACGACAGTGCTCAGCTGCCTTGCATCAATTCGACGCACCCGGCACGCATCTACATTCTCTCACCCCAACAGAAGGAACCTGGCACACCTGCACGCCTGGAACTGCAAAGAACAAGGAGAAGGCTCAATCGTACCTTAGGTATTGCACTTGCACTTGCACTTTCTTGATCTTACCATAAGGCAAGGGGCCTTACCTTACCTGGGTCCAACCCCTTCCTCTTTATCCTTCCGTCCTGTACTTTACGGATAGTCCTGCGGTCTTTCCCCTTTCCCACCGAACCTGGCTGGGATCGGGTACCTGCTCCTTCCCAAGCACCTGCAGCAAACACGTCCCCGGAACGCGGTGGTCACTCTTTAATATCGACATTCGGCACCTACCTCACTTCTTCAAGCTTTCTCTTTTACACCGTTACCTTTCGAACCGTCTTTCTAGAGACGAAAAAAAAAGGCAATCTAGATCTTGCTTCGACTTGCATCATTCGGTCTCCTGCCGGCTTGCATCATCCATCCTACCTCTCCATCGCCAACTGAACTTTAAACTTCACCTGGAAGCAACCATCGAAACGCACTTCTGCCCGCGCAGGTCCACTCTACGCACGACGCCGCAGCCCTCTTCCATCGTCACCCTTGTTTCCTGAGCTCGCTTCCTCCTGCAAGCTGCAAGCTCTTTGCTGGATAGAAAACTAAAACTTGGGGAAGGAAACGAAACAGAACTCCGTCTGGCAGGCAGCCCTTCCCGTCTTCCCCGTCTTGCACCATCCCTGTTGAGGCACGCTCCCCAAAGGCCTGGACATCAGATCACCCACAGCTCCATCCATCCATCCCTGGCCAAAGCTCCCCCGGTATCCCTCTCATCATACACCCGTCACTTGTCTCTCCCCCAGCATCTCGCAATCTTCTCAACTTTCATTTGTCGGGAACACCAGCTAGCCGCCTCTCGATTTTTGGTGAATCCATCAACTACCTAATCCGTCCACCCCCTCGAGCTCTCTCTAGTCGGTATTCGGTCGTCTTGCGGATCTACGGGTGCTCCACACGTCCTCAACACCGTCTGCCGCAATGGCGTCCCTCGAAGAGCTTCTCGATAGCCTCCACTACCTCTATCCGGCATTGGCCTTCGCCTATTTTGCAATTGCTTCCGCTGTTGCTGTGTGCACTCTTCAGACTTTGCGGGCAGCCAATAACCCAGGCAAAGAGTTCATCCCTCGGTCATGGATCCTCAACCTTATCGTTGCCTTTGTCCTTACCTACGTCGCCCAGATTGCCGTCATCGCCATTCAGTCCATCGTCCTTCAAGAATGGATTGGCCAGGAACATGAGGTTATTGGCTTGCTTTCCTGCATTCTTGTCTTTGGTACTCAATTGGCCTTCCTTTCCGACACAGAACACCCTGTGTGGACACCGTACTGGGGCTCATGGCTCATTTCCTTGGTTTTCGAGCCCATGATTGGAGTGCCAGATCTCATTATCAGACGCTCCAGCACTTTCGAGCACTGCCGCATCGCTCACCTTGTCTTTGCTGGTCTCCGCTACTATCTTCTTCTTACCATTGTTTCCATCTACGTTGTTCAGCGTATCCGAGCCAGCCAGGAAGAAGCGACAGACGAAGAACGGCAGTCTCTTCTCGGTCAAGATGGCCCAAAGTCCCGATTGAGCAGCTCAGGAAACGGGAGCCAGAGCTCTACTTCTACGTACGGAACGACAAGTGATCCACCAGAGTCGTACTGGGCCGAACGCCAGCGAAAGGCACAGGAGGAGATGGAGAAGCGCCTTCAGGAAGAGGGCAACTGGCTGACGTACATTAAGGGATTCGGCGTAAGTTTTGGATTCTTCTCGTCCCTTCAATCACTCCTGATATTCTTCACTTGCCTGACACCAGTCTAGATTTTGTTTCCCTACATCTGGCCTGTCGGACAGAAATCCCTGCAATTACGCCTTGTCCTTGTTGGCCTCTGTCTGCTCGCCGGCAACGCTCTCAACCTCTTGATCCCGCGTCAATTCGGTATCATTGTCGATGAGCTCAAGGACAAGAATTTCAGCAGTGCCTGGTACGGAGTTGCGATCTACGGTCTGCTCAGAATCGCTGCTTCTGACGCCGGTATTGAGTTTCTGCGAGAATGGCTCTACCTTCCTCTTGAGGTATACGCCGATGGGGCTCTGAGCACAGCAGCATACCGACACATCTTGAACCTCTCAGCCGACTTCCACGATTCAAAGAGCACATCTGACATCAGCCTGGCCATGTATGGCGGGTCAAGTGTATCCGATCTCCTGGAGTCTATCTGTTTCCAAGCACTTCCCATGCTGATCGACCTTGTCGTTGCCATTGTTTACCTCTCGGTGATCTTGGGGCCCTACGAAGGTCTCATCACCCTGGCGACCAGCACACTTTTCTTGTTCATCGCTACGAAGATGATTGCTGTGATGAAGGAACGCAGACGGGCCCACGTGAACGCCCAGTACGCCGAGCACTACGTACGCCAGACTGGAATCACGGGTTGGCATACGGTTGCATCCTTCAATCAGACGACGTATGAAGATGTGCGCTACTCCAACGCAATTCACACCCGCATCAACTGGACTAAGCGTGTACGTCTCGGGTGGTTTACTGCGCAAGCATTCCAGTCTCTGGTTCTCCTCTGTGGTTTGTTGGCCGGCGCGATTCTGGCTGTGTACAGGATCAAAAACAGCAAGGCCACCCCTGGTGACTTGACAATGCTCTTGATGTACTGGGCTCAACTCACGTCTCCACTGCGGTTCATGGCCAGCCTCGGAAAGAAGATTGGAAGCGATTTGATCGACGCCGAGCGACTGTTGGACATTATGAAGAAGGAGCCAACAATTGTGAACAAGAAGGGGGCCCGTCCCCTGAAGCTTGTTGGTGGCAACGTCAATTTCAATGATGTGAGCTTCACCTATGATTCCAAGAAGAAGATCATCAACAGCATCTCTCTTTCTGTTCCCGGCGGCCAGACGGTGGCCTTTGTTGGTGCTACTGGTGCCGGCAAGTCCACCATGTTGAAGCTACTCAACCGTTTCTACGACGCCAGCGAGGGATCCATCTTGATTGATGGACAGGATGTGCGTGACGTTGACTTGCACAGTCTCCGTGACCGCATTGGCTTGGTGCCACAGAATCCTGTGCTCTTCGACGACACAATCATTAGCAACATTCGGTATGCGAGAATCACCGCTTCTGACGACGAGGTCTTTGAAGCTTGCAAGGCTGCTTGCATTCATGATAAGATCATGACTTTCACCGATGGATACAACACGCGAGTTGGTGAGAGGGGAATGTGAGTAGTCCCTGTGTCTGCGATAGGACTAGTAGCTGACCAAAACCAGCAAACTTTCCGGCGGCGAGCTCCAGCGTGTTGCTATTGCCCGGGCAATTCTCAAGCAGCCCGAGATTGTGCTTCTGGACGAAGCGACAAGTTCAGTGGACACCGACACAGAGCAGAAGATCCAGCAGTCATTCATGCAGCTCTGCAAGGGACGAACCACATTTATTGTCGCGTATGTATTCCATTTTTTTCATGCTTCTATTGTTCACATCCTTGCCACTGTGCCACTGAGCTACCGGGTCCATGTGCTAATCATACACAGTCATCGACTTTCAACCATTATGAACGCCGATCGCATTGTTGTCATCGAGGATGGTGAGGTTGTCGAGCAGGGCAATCACGCTGATCTCGTTACCGCTAAGGGAAGGTACGCAGACCTATGGTCTAAGCAAACCTTCCTGAAGCCCAAGGATGACGAATCCGCCATCAACAAGAAGTCGTCTGCAAGTGACACCGACGACTCCACGCTCGATGGCACATCGGAGACAGATGCTTCTGCGTCCGAGGACACCCACACGACACCGACTCAGGCGAGCAAGGGAAACGAGGCTGTTCAGACTCCCGGTAATCACAAGAAAGAGGTAGAGTCAGCTGAAGATTCGTCTTTGGCAGATTCTAACCACTAATTGTGTAGGGATCTCGATTGAACCCCGTTGCACCCGAATTCACGCCCAAGTCGACCCCCATCACCAAAATTTCTTTTCCATCCCCCACTCGCCAGCCCGTCACAAACTCCGCGAAGCCACATGTCTCACCCATTCGACAGACTCCCAAGCGGGTTTTGAATTGGGCGAGCGCGACTTCTTCGGATGACGATTCCTCCCCACGATCCACTGTTGACACCACGACCATTTCTGCCGGCGGCCGTGCTCAAGTAAGCTTTCTGTCTGGTAAGGTCCCCTTCATGGTGTATAATTGCTCTCAAGGAAAGATGTCTGACCGCGGTATGGCGTTAGGTGCTCGACACGACAGTAGAGTACAAGACTCCGACAACGACTCAGTGGACACTGTCATCAAGCTTGAGCCTCCCCTATTCAGAACCCCTCACCCTACTGCCCGTCGCTATAACGCCATGAGCGATTCGAATGGACAAGCTTGTGGCGATACTGATGCGATGGACCAAAGTGGCGATGATGCTGATGGATTCATTGCTGTAAGATTCTCACAGCCATCCTTAGCCGAGCGAGAAACTAATCGGCTGCAGGAGGTACGCCATGTATCTGCCCCGGTCTTGAAGTTGAAGACCGTCGCACCGGGCCAGGATACTCGTGCTTCCCCAATGACCATCATCGTATCCAAAGACTTGATCAACGACAAGCTGCCGACACCCGGCTCGACTAGCACTCCTGTCTGTCGCCACAAGGAGAATGTGCCTGAGGGATCTCACGGTCCGGTTACAATCAAACCAACGACGCCATCATCTCCTCTCAAGGAGGTCACGCAGTCTAACTCAGCTGTATCCTCGCTCGCTCGAGATTCTCAGCAGTCCAACAACAATCGTGGTCAGAGAAAGCGACACAACCGAGGCGGAGGCCGTGGGCGTGGCCGCCATGGTCATGCGAAACCCCCCGATCATGGCGCTCATCATTAGCTTTCAACAGCTTCTCAATGAACCCCGCGCCGCACATTATCAGATTTCTTTTGTTCGAGTTGGCACCGGTTCCATGTACTATTCTCGGCCCAACAAATGGCTTGTTAGGTGCCACTTTCTACGGTATTATTTAGAGAACGGCGTCAGCGCAAGCTGGCTTGTCTAAAAAGACACGGAGGGGGCTACGTTTCATATCATGAGAGTATTTTGTTTCGCATCAAAAGCAACCCAAAATTGGCGAAGGATCAGCTTCATTAGAATTGGTGGGCAAAAGCTTTAGAACAGACTGGGGGATACTTGAGTTTAGATTAGACTGGATGTATGGATAAGAAGGGTCGATAGCTTGGCCAACATGCTCAGTTACCTCCACAGCCCTTTGCTGTTTCTCAAAAACGTCCTTCAACCTTGGTCAAGGAGACTCGTCTCATGGGGCCGTTAAATAGTGTTCTATTCATGCACAGGAGTTTTGTGCATGTTATTGTGAGGGTAATTCTAGTAATAAGTCGGAGTGGTTATCGACTTTGTTTCCTGGCTTTTCCAACGGCAAAGTCCTTTCAAGTATGAGTTTCATTCTCTTGAAACGACGCTTTAGGCCGAGCCTCCACGGCCAGCACCAGCACCAGCACCAGCGCCTCCTCCGGGAGCACCACCCGGTGCACCTCCACCACCCATCATGTTGCGTGCCCTAGAAAGAGTTAGGATTGAATTCTGTGATATTATGACAGGTAGACCACTTACATGTCGGCGATGTTGGGATCGGACATAAGAGAGTTCAGGTCAGGCATGCCGCCACCGCTACCGAAGCGGTCGGCCATCTCGCGCAGGCGAGGGTTGCTCATGAGGTTGTTCATCATGTCGGGGTTGCTCATCAGGTTCTGGGCCATGCTCGCGAACATGGGGTTGTTCATGATCTGGCTGAAATCGGGCATGCCTCCGGCACCACCGCCAGCTCCTCCTCCTCCGCCGAGCATGCTCGCCAGACTGCTCAGGTCGGGCATACCGCCCGCGCCACCGCCCATGCCACCACCGACACCGGGTGATTGGCGGGGCAGGTCGCGCTCCTCGACCGACATCTCCTCGACGCGGCGCTTGGCGGTCTCGAAGCCCTTCTTCATGGCCTCGCTGCCGCCGGAACCCTCGAACTCGATGCCCTTTCCGTAGGCCTCCATTGCGCCCTTTGCGTCGCCGAGGGCGAAGCGGGCGAGGCCGAGGCGGGACCAGGCTTTCGTGTAGGCCGGGTCGACGGCGACGGCGGCCTCGGCGTCTGCCTTTGCGGATTCGTGGTCCTTTGCGGCGGAGTGGGCGGCCGCGCGGTTGGAGAGGAAGACGGCGTTGCCGGGGTTCAGGGCCAGGGCCTGGGTGTAGAGGGCGATGGCGGAGGGGTAGTCCTTTGAGGCCATCGCGGCGTTGCCCTTTGACTTGAGGGCGTCGGCCTCCTTCTTGTCTTCTTCGGTCACCGTCTTGGAGGCCGAGGCGGCGGCATCGGCCGCGCCTGCTGCTGCTGCGCCGGCGGAGGCGCCCGCTGCCGCGGCCGGGGTGGAGGCGTTCTTGAGCTTCTCGTAGACGGAGTAGACTTGGTAGAGGTTCTGGGCGCCGACGGCCTCTGCGAGGATCTTCTTGTCGGTGGGGTCGACCTTGAAGGAGTCTGCGATGCACTGGATTGCGACGTCGATGGAGTCCTTGTCGTCGGCGGGGAGGGTGCCGTCGTTGACCGAGGTGGAGAGGAATTCGCAGATTGCGACGGCGAGGCGCTGTTTGGAGGTTACTGTCGCCTGGAGGAGGGGTAAAATGTTAGCTCATGATCGTGCTCTTCTCTTAGGCTGCCTGCCTCTCCGGAGGATGGGATGGAATGGGTTACTTACCATTTTGACGATGTGTGAACTTGTGGATGTGTATATAATCGAATAGAGGGAGGGTTCGACACGAGGATGGGGGGGGGTATCAAGAGGTGTTGTAAGATGGTGGAGAGCTTGGGTGTTGTGTTGTTCGTTTTTTTTGGGGATCGTCCTCCTTTGTTACGATGGCTGGCGGGTTGGGCTTTGCGGCTGCTTGGCTTGCCCGCGTCACTCCCCACGTTCTCTTTTCGCCCGGTCGGTACAGCTGTTTGGCTGGAAGGTTCCAGCGCAGCCGCGGTGAAGGTGGGGGAGGGGGGACTGGGCGGGTGGGCGTCAAGCGGCGGCGGCGTTGGAGCCTTGGAGGGGAAGAGCCTGGAGGAACGTACCGTTTGCCCCGCTGAATGGGACAGGCGCATTTCCTCTTCGCTTCAATTTCATGCAATCATGCAGAAATACGGTTAAATGCACATAATATCTATGTTCATCACTGTTGACCGCACGATAATAAATCAATACCTTAATCTGACTGATTCGTTACTGTCAGACAGAGGCCGTGGAGATGAGAAACACCTCGTAGTCCGCCATGCTGAACGATATCTAACCATACAGAATGAAAATAAAGCAAAAAAGGTATACACTCCTCCTATCCTATTCGCCAACGCCGTTTGATATGCAGGTGTGTACTGTCGCTTTCAATTAGTATGTTTGATTTCTCATCTCAACGTTCCCTAAGTGGCGGGAGAAGTGGAAGAGGTCTGGTTCCTCCGCCTGTCAACGTTGCGAATTTTGCGCAGAGGCTTGTTCTTCGCGAGGCGGTACTTGGTGTAGAGCCGGAACACGTCGCGGATCACCACATACATGCAGCCTCCGACAAGGTTGCGGCCCCATTGCTCCTGAAGCAGACCTGTTCGGATCTTGAACCGACCAAAGGTACCTGCAGGAGATGTCCAGTGCTTCGGTAGTGCCAAACGGATGGCCTCGCCCATGGCGGCAGAGAAGACTGGTAGCAGGAGTGTGCTCACAATCGCATTTGTGACGTCCTTGAGGCTAGCCTGGATGCCACGCTGGCGCGGTGCTGCGGGCGCCGGCTGGGCCGCTGGTTGTTGAGGTGCCACGATCGGTGCCTGCTGTGGCTGGTTGCCTGGCTGGGGCAACTGGGCAGGGAGGGCGGCAGCGATATTTCCGGCGCCGTTCTCCTGCTCCGCTGCATGTGCCTCCTCGATCTCCTCGACGAGAATCTCGAGGTTAACCATGTCATGGTCCTGTCCCACCTCCACTTCTTCCAGCTCAACCTCCATCTCCACGTCGGGGATGTCCAGCATATCGATAGCCGCATCGATCAACCCTCCCACCAATCCGACGTTTCTAGCAGCTTCGTTGGCGCCCTCGTTGTTCCTACCACGGCGGCGGCGGTTGCCGTTCTGTCTGTTGTTCGCCTGAGGTGCGGGCTCGGGCAGTCCAGCAATTATGCGCTCCCACCTCTTCTCGTACGGGCAGACGAACTCGTGCCATAGGTTATTGTATACAGCTCTAATGTACGGGAAGCACGCTGCCGCGAGTTGAGGGGACGGGGGCCAGGAGAAGAAGTGGTCGTCCTTGGCCATGTGGAAAACGCCGTACTAGATCATGTCAGTCAGGTCTGCGAGAAATGAGTATGCAGAAAGGTATGCTTACCAGCGCGGCGACGGGCATGAAGAAGACATTGCCCAGAATAGGGACCGATGAGCCCAGAACCAGGGCGGGCGCGATGGTCGGCAGGATCGCGACGTGGATCCAGTTGACCATGGGCACGCCTCTGGGGTTCCTGTCGTTGAAGAAGAAGCGATACGTCGCCTCGGGGCCCGCAAACACCCGCACCGCAATGTTGCCATACATGGCCAAGCTGACCCATGTGCCCGCGCCGATCCCGCCGAGGATCAGGCCCGGCGACACCCTGCTGAAGGACTTGTAGATCTGGTTGCTGAGCGCGAGTGCCGGGTCGTAGGGCTCGTCAATGTTGATCTTGGCCTTGCACACCGGGCAGAGGATCTCCTTGCCCTCGCGCTCCAGCTCCGTGACCCACTGGATCATGCAGTCTTGGTGGCCTTCGAGGGTGCATGGGCACGGGTCGACCCAGGCGGACTCGGAGGCGCCGGACTCGTTCTCGTCCATGAGGCAGATGAAGCAGCGGCGCTCGCCATCTTGAGGACCGGCCTGAAGTGAAGGTATCGTGTCGGTCATGCTGGGTGACTGGCGCGAGGGTGCTCAAGGTGGAGATGGTCGGTTCGTTGAGGTTCGGGGGTGGGAGATGCGGAGAGTGAGGGTATATCGTGTGCGGGAGCTCTTGAGCCCACGGCGCAACAAGAATCGCAGAAGTGGGAGGGTGTATGCTTCTATCGCATGGTAAGAATTGCAATAAAACTCTATGGTTTGGTATTGCGAAGGTACAGGGAAGCGATCCTGAAATGTGGGATATCGTGAAGTTGCGAACAGCCTGATTGTCCGTCAGTAGCTGGTCAAGCTTAAGCGGGTGTGACATCAACCGCCCCAAACGTCCGATCAACCGCCAGTGGAAATCCATGGTGAGCCGAGGCGCAGGGTGGAGCCCTCGGGAGTTAAGGTGCTCGAAGTCATGTGGCTTGACAAGCTATGTCCCTCAAGCTTCTGTGGCGCTATCATGGCTGTGCAGCTGAGTCAGCATCTCTGTAGTCGGTCATGCGATCTACAGCTCGTGGAAGACGAAACCAAACCTTCCCACTATCCATCTCTGTTATAGGCAGGCACAAGCAGGCCTTCATTTTTTCGCATCTATACGCAACAGATTGAGCGTCTAGAAGATGTTATAGTTGCTTGGGAAGTTGTATGGCTGTGACTTCTTAGCGGGGAAAGAATCCGTTCTAATCATAAGGATCCAACCAAAATTCGACCAACAACACCAACACTGTGATCATCCATGCACTAAATCAAGCCCTAGATTTCCTTCCAGACAATTCCTTCAAAACTCCTCCATCCACGTGCTCTTATTATCTTGAAAGACATGGTCATCGGTCTACGTCTTCCCCCGCGCCTCTTCTCTAAGCTCAGGCTCGTCAGGCGAATGTTCGCATATCCTTTTCAATGGTGCGTACAACGATTGTGTTGACCATCTATGCCATCATACCCAGGGGCTTTACGCAGAGTACCGTAATAAGCTCCTGTTGACTGCTCCTGGACATGTGGAAACGACCAGATCCTCGGGCTCTTCGTCGCCATCGGTAAGGGAAGAGAGGCTTGCCAAATGGTACTTCTCGTATTTGATCATGGTCTTTGAACTCGAGTATCGGTATTGTCCTCCCATAATTTCCCGGGGCGGTCTCAAGTAATTGCCATGAGATCAGTTGGAGTATGAAACCCATACCTAGTTCAACCTGGGTTTCATCTAGTACATTTGCCTGTAACGTTTCGTTTGTCTCAGCCAATAATCATACAGGATAATATCCATTTATAAGCCTATTGTCAAAGAGCTATCCACAAAACTCAGAATTGCTTCCATCTGTGCTCGATTACAAATTGCTCCTATTTTTCCGTGTTCACTTCGAGTTGGAGATCTTTGTGTCGTACAAGAAAGACAAATATGGAGGGGCTGTCCCCGTTCAACTCCGATGATCATTGGGAAGATCTCATTAGTCCATGCCATTGACTCGCTCCCAAAACCCAGACATCTGTTTGATATTTGATATATGTTGCGGTTTCCTCCTCCTCTCGCCCCTTCTTTTCCCAGTCCTTGCACGATATCAAGCAGCGGCTGCCCCATTCACGCCTGACTTGGGCTTGATCAGGCTCGATTAGTGGTCGAGGCGTACAAGAACAATGCAAAATATAGACACTAATTGCGCTCGTGCATCAGCTGGTTCAGACTCGAGATCATCGATGTGGCACCGGCATTCAGCCAAATCCCCAAACTCGAGGTCGAACAGGAACTGGTACGGGCATTGTACGGTAACCCTAATTCCAGATGCTTTGAAGAGAATGGCGCCGTCGAGCTCCACTCTTGGAAAGAGTAAGAGCGTTTACGAAGTCTCCAAAGTAGAGGATGTGTTGATAGTCATACAAGGCGACTTCCGATTTATCGACGAGTTCCCACCGAAATTATATTCCCATGCCAGACTAGATCTTTCAGAGAGGGTGTGCTTGACATCATCGACGCCAATAGGCAGTCCAAATCCATCGCTCGCCTTGCCGAGCCGGCAGTAAGGTTGCACCAACTCCAGAAGTATGCATGCGCGGCGGGTGAAAGGGAAGAAATCTTGTGAGCCTAAATTGGCCTTGGAAAACCATACTTGAGGAAGCATCAGGGCTGGGAAGCCACCTCGTGATCGGAGGCTCGCCGAATGCTTTGGGATCCTGTAGCAGGAATTTCCTTGCCTCGAGTAAGCCGTGTCGCATACCTCAGTTTTGCGATTCCCTTCCGACTTGTGTCGCTTCTAATTGACGGCAGTCTCTATCACAATCTTACTAGTGAGACCAACTCACTTAATTGTACATGCAAGGCCTTAAATGTCCCGGGAGAACTGGACCGATCGAACGGCTGATGTGTCGTCCTTGCTCTAGTGCATCGAACATCGCACTAACGCTCAGGTTTACACGGAGGTTGCCTGTGGATGCGGGTTATATCGATGATTACGAATCCAAGACCTGTTTTCATCTGCATGGCGTAATCCCCGGAGATCCAGCTCGCAGTGCCAAAACAGTGACTGCATCGGCGGTAATATCTCGCGGCGTTTGAAGGCATTACTTACTTTTGAGATGGCCATCCCGTCGGCCACAGCCGCTTCGCCCTGCCTTCGGCGAAGAACAGGAGAACATCAAAAAGCCATCCGCGCGCACCGAATGCGATCCTGATATATGCTGCGCCAACCCCTTGATTTTCAACGTCATCCAGGGCAGTGCTTCTGCCTCCCCCGAACGTAGATCTGCCGAGCTCTCAAAATCCCCGGCGGCTTCCCGGCGGGATACGACGCTCACCGTTCACGGACTGTGGGCGATCGGGCTCCGAAATGACCCTGCAGATGTCATTTGCTTGGCCGACTTAGCGCCGCGACAGTGCCAAGGGCCGCATATTCCCCTGTCCGTCCGCAGCCCTGCCCAACGGGAGTGCGGGAATGCGAATTCGCAGTCGACGGACTTGGCTGGAAGACTGGCGCGCGGATCAAATGCAGGTACGCAAAGACTTGGTCTCTGGCCTGTGATTGTGATGTAAATGGGATCCAGTGAGCTTAAAGCATGTTTCGTCCGAAGAGCACAGCCTAAGAAGGCCGCAGCAATCACAGTTCTGGGTTCGAATGTTTAGGTTGGCACGGGTTGCCACCGTGAATGTTATTCTCCGCGGGACATCAAGGATTATGTTTGGATCGAGGGGCCTCCCGTGGTGTGGTCGCCAACAAGATGATCGGGAAAAGTGCCAAAGCATATGGGCCGTGATGGGTTATTCAGCGAAACACCCTCCTCTCCAGTCTCAGCCCCCTTAAAACGCACAGATGGGAAAGATACTGTGTGGGAAAGTTTCGACATCAGCCACTGAGGTTTGAGACTCTACCGTTGGTCATCCCGTCTCACCATTTTAGCCCACATCGAACAGAGAGAAGTGAACCCTGGCCGGGACGTCCCATTGGTGCTTCAGCCCAACTTGACAAGCCGCACGGCTTTTAATAGCATGAACGGCCTCCCGGCACGGCACATCGGATGGTGGGCGCTGCCCCGAGCGACCAGCTGCAGGTGTCAGGGAAGAAGAAATGGTACAGCCACCCATGCACACGCGTCCCCCTCAATAGATTTCACCCACTAATGAACCCCACCATGGCAACTCCACTGCCGGGAGGCCGAGTGGCAGGTGTTTGCCGTTGCCAAATGCTCAAACGTACGTCAGCCTCCTTGAGATGGGGTGGAAGTGAGGTGGTTGGCTCCAGCTCGTCCAGCTGGAACTCGCGTGATGGGTTCTCCTAGTAAAGCTCAAACACCAGGTATCCATGCATCCTGTTGATTCTGCCCTTCTTTAATGGAGACGCTGACCCGCCATCGAAATAAGGGGGCGGGTTTGGTTTCCATGGTTCTTCACTGAAAGCCTCAGCCATTTCTCTCGTTCTATCTCTTCTCTTTTAAAACTTCTTTTTCTTCCAATATACTATCGTTGAATTGAATTTTAGAGGGTTCTTCCTTCGCCGTAAAATTACTCACAATGGCATTGTCTTTCGTTCGTCAAGCGTCGCTCGTTGCGCTTCTCGCTTCTACAACTTTCGCTCAAACTTTTACCGATTGCGACCCTACTAAGAGTAAGTTTAACTTTGGATCCGCGTTCATTTGAGGATATTCCGACATGTCCTCCACATCACGGCACTCTATGCTTTGGTGGATGAATTGTTTTGCTAACACGAGATAACTTAGAAACGTGTCCCGCCAACAAAGGTCTGTCAAAGAGCACCTATGAGGTCGACTTCACCAAGGGCGCCGACAACGATGCCTGGACCGTCACCGCCGGCAACATCACCTACGGTACTGATGGCGCCGAGTTTACCCTGAACAAGAAGGGTGATGCCCCCACTATCGAGACATCGTGGTACTTTTTCTTCGGCCGCGCCGAGGTCCTCATGAAGGCCGCCCCCGGAACCGGTATCGTTAGCAGTGTAGTCATCGAGTCCGATGACTTGGACGAGGTCGACTGGGAGTGGCTCGGCGGCAAGGATGCTGAGGTTCAGACCAACTACTTCGGCAAGGGCAACACCACTAGCTACGACCGTGGCGCGTTCCACACCATCGCCGCGACTCAGACCGAGTACCACAACTACACCATCGACTGGACCAAGGAGGCCGTCACCTGGTACATCAACAGCAACCTTGTCCGCACCCTCAACTACGCCGATGCCCTTGGCGGCAAGAACTTCCCCCAGACCCCGGCCCGCCTGAGACTCGGTATCTGGGCCGGAGGCGACCCGGACAACAACGCCGGCACCATCACCTGGGCCGGCGGTGAGACCGACTACACCAAGGCGCCCTTCACCATGACCGTCCAAAAGGTCTCCATCACCAACGCGAACCCCGGTGGCTCCTACACTTACGGCGACATGACTGGTGACTACTCGAGCATCAAGATTGGCGCCGCCACCGACGACAGCACCAATGCCGGTCAGAACGACACCACTTCAGGTAACACAACCTCCGAACCCGCCTCCGGGAGCTCCGACGCGACAGCGACGCCTTCCTCTGGTTTCCCCGTGTCCTCGGGCGCCCCGCTGAGAAACTCCACCACGACAGGAACCACGATCCGTCCGACGGTTGCTCCCTCGGCCACCCAGTCTGGCTCGTCCGCCAGCGCTACCGCCTCCACCGGTGCCAGCGCTGCCGCTGGAAAGCTGTTGACCGGCGCGACTGTTGGCACTGGTCTGTTTGGATTTGCTCTCGTCGCGATGGCTGGCCTGTTTTAGAAGAGATATCCCCCCATTTGTTACAGTAGTGTGTATGTAGTTCTTCCCACCACAGTTAGATAATACAGGACCAGAAGAGTCCTACTTTCCAAAGTTAGCCCTATATCTGGCCCGCGGAACGCGATAAATTCAAGTGACTTCAACCCTTGCGTCGATGAGAGAGAGGGAGAAGAGGGCTGTTTTGGCCTGGCCCCAGCAGATACATTGGTGGTAAATATAACGGCTCAACTCGCACGCATGGATGAACCCCGTGTGCTATGTAGTTGATCCATGGATGGTTGGTTTGCGCCCGAACGCACAAACTTACGCTGATTTTTCGAGGAGGGATTATTACGTTAAGTCACGAGGAGTGAATCTACGAAGCCATAACATTTCCTCATCTCTTCAGTTTCCCAGTTTGCTCTTTTCACAATGTCATTTCTCATGATCGTGAGAAGGACGTTGGGGGAAAGTTGTTACATGGCGCCGCACCCTGGAATCACATTGGCATTCGGGTACCTGCATGCAGCCGGTGCTACATCGAGCGCACTATAGTCATTGGCTCGTTTATGTGCCCGAAGGCCATCTTGAATTCTTGATACTCACCGCTGCTACCCTTAGAGTCCGATAAGGGGCCCAAACATGAGGGGGCCGTGTTAGGTCCTCGCGTTGCACCCTTGCTGTCCCAGACTCCAGGCACGTCTGATCGAATTCCATGACTCAGCGACCTCCTGACTGCGACGTCATTATGCAAAGAGGCGAGCGCAACTGAACGCCTGTCTTACCGCTCATAAAACTAGAAGGACCTGAAGAATGCAGATAATGCAGATAATGCAGAGAAAACCGTCAGCCAGTTAGAGGAGATGTTAGCAAGTATCTAGTGAGAGAAGTTCGCTATCTGGAGCGAGCCTTTGATAGTTCAGCAATGCCCACTTGAAGCTTCGTCTACCCCGATTCTGAGTCGGGGATCCCCGAGACTCCATGGGCATTCCTCGTAAAGTGCTGCTAATTGACTTCACAGGGTCGCAATGACACTGGATCACAGGCTCAGAGGCTCTGCGAGAGATCTCTCCAGTCAGCCCAGGACTCCCATCATTATGCTTATTAGTGTGCTCCAGATCTGGAGACATGTTGCAAGCTATGATGCCGATTCAGTTCAGCTATCAGACATGGATATCGCAAGACATGTACTGAGTTACTCCCTGGATACTTTCGGTATCGCGTAAACATGACCATTCAGATTGGCTAGTTAAGAAACTACTCAGAGCCAACGGACTGAGTGTTCGATATCGGGATAGCTACTTACCTACTTCAAACTTCTGTTACATAGTATTGCCCCAAATGCTTATGTTCCGTTCAGCCCGTGTCATCGATTTATACACTTGATATTTCTTGGCATAAGACTGCTCATTTTGGCTTCACTTGACACATGCCGCTGCTTCAACCTGACAGCGTAGGAGTGATGGTCGCCGTTTTCCTCGTTGAATTGGATTCAACCCTAGGGCAATATCTTCCGTTGATGGTAAATCCTGGGCCGCTGTACCTTCTTGTTCACCTGAGCGAGGATGATCCACCGACGGTCCCTGATAAGTCACATTTCTCTAAGGACTGGCTGAGGCATTTCCACAACTCGTTGCCCGCAGAATGCGCGTGGGGAAATATGGACGATCTCGAAGAATCTAACTTGGGAGCCAGGATTCCCAGTAGCAACTTTGATCTGACTAGCACTTCGTATCTATGTGGTTTCAATGCTTGACAGAAATGAGATCTGCGGGGCAGCGAATAGGTTGGGGGCCACTGCCTGTGTCGCCGTGAGCAGCACGACTCGTTCTTCCCCCACTACTCTATCAGGATCGCAGAACTTAAACATGGTAACCTAAACAATGGAAGCCGCAGTATGTACGAGTCAACTTGCCCAAGAAGATCTACAACTCCAGGTCTTCGTTCAGCACTAGAACAATTCTACCTGTTCGTAACCAATACTGAATATGGACTTTAGTTTATTAGAGTTCAAAGCTTAACTCATTCATGCCGACAGCCGAATCATGAAGAGCACTTTTCCTGTCATCTAAGGATAGGTTCCGACGATATACTGTCGTGATCACCAGATGATGGACGTCTCATGATGTTATAAATTCTTTGCTGTTTCCGCGTACTTCAACTGTGCTCTCGTCATCAGAAGCTCATCCTCATCAAGCCTTTCGTTCAGCAACCTCCACTTCCCCCTTCAAACATTCGTTTGCTGTCGCAACCATAACGTTCAATATGCGCGCCACTACTTTCACCGCTGTTTTTGCTTCCCTTCTCACGGCTGTTGCTGCTGTTCCCCAGGGCTTCAGCTGCAAGGTAAGCACGGAACACTAGCTTCCAAGCCACACAACATTGGCTACGAGGCGAGACCCGCTAGATCGGCTTGCTAACAACTCATCAAAGTCCGAGGGCTTCTGCACCTACAGCGACCCCAACTGCAACTTCTGCCTCAACATTGATGCTGCCGCCAAGATCAAGGTCTGCCAGGCCATTGACCCCACCTACAAGAGCGCCCCCGGCGACATCACCCGTGGACCTTCAGGAGTAAGCAACCCCATCACGAACAGAGTCCTGTTTGGCATAGCAAGTCAAGCTAACTCACTCTTCACCTTGCAGGCCGACTTCCAGTGCGTGGTTACTTGCTGCCACTAAACGATGGATGTCATTTAGAGTTCGGGATGGATGGTCTAGCTTATCTAGAGCGCATCTAGCTTGAAGCCTTAGATAGACGCATACGAATCCAAAGACGAACATGTGTTAACTCTTCAGACCCTTGATTGCCCTCTTCTCCTTGAAAGTTGATACTCATTACCAAGCGAGATTTCTGTTTGTCAGGGTTTTCAACAACATTTCGTTGTGCTGAAAAATCAAGCTCCAGCGAAGGAGATCGCGGCGGATTGTGTGGTGGCTGTCCGAGTAAGACGGCGTCTACACTCCCCGAAGTAGGTAAGTGGCTGGGGTGTGTGACAGCACCCTAGAGTCTGTTGGTTGCGATGAACGCATGCAAAGGGCTTTTAGCTGTCGAATGTTGATGGCCTGGACAAGTCGGAGACCGACTGTCTAGCTGTAATTGGTCTTAGACCCTTGACGTACAGACATAGTATGGAATGTATTTGCACATGACATCGGACAACGGATGGCAACTGGGCCCGGGCTGAACAGACGTGGCGCTTATTTAGTAGTAAAATCCACATTTTCCCCAAGGGTTGTATGGACTGCGCGGCGCTACGGAGGCACAGATGCCGACAAGCTCATTAGATGCATGCCAGCAACCACGTCAATGTCGGCACGGCCCTTCTACCAACCTCCGATGGCCGGTTGCAGGACGGTGGGAGACATCAAAGCAGTCTGTCCATATAGAAGCTAGAAGAGCAGATATCAAGACGATGGGGGTGCAATTCTTACAACTGTGTCTTCATTCCTGGGCCTGAAATCAAATACATCAATCAGCTTGGAAGCATTCAACTCATTGAAGCTCTGACTTGACTGGAGGTCTTATCACTTACAATCCCCAACATTCGAACTCTTTTCACGCAATCGCAACATCGAACGAACTCTAATTCAACTTTACGACCCCTGCCAAGAACCAAACTCAATTCCCCTGGCAACCCAGTTCTGCCAAGCCATGTCAACTTCAACATCAGCCACGAGTGGCCAGCAGGTAAGTTACCCCGTATCACCGTCATGTTGTCACCGCTGACATCGCATAGACGCCGAAAGGACCTCCTTATGCACCAGTTACAGCTCTTCTGGGCTTGACGCCGACCGTGAAAGTCGACGTGCCAATCTGCGCCGTCTTGATCGTTTTCTTCCTCAGCGGATTCGTCCTCAATATCACCATTTTTCGGCGGAACAAAGCCCGCGGGCACAAGTTCCTGCCTTCGGTACTTCTCGCCGGTTTCTGCATGGCCCGCAATATGGCGCTGGTCCTACGCATTGTCTGGTCTACCCGCCACGACAATGCCAGTTTAACAATCGCCGCCAATATCTTCGCGGCCGCCGGTGTCATTATCCTCTTCATCGTCAACCTCATTTTCGCACAGCGTTTGGTGAGGTCGATACATCCCACCTTCGGATGGAGTCGCATCCCCTCAATCGCCTTCAAGGCTCTTTATGCCTACGTCATCATTTGTCTCATCATGACCATTACGATCACCATCATTTCTTTTTACACCCGCAACCCATCAACCTTGAACACCGCGCGCATCATCCAGTTGTTTTCCGGAACATCTCTTGCTACATTGGCCTTCTTGCCGATTCCGATTGTCATCGCGACCGTACTCATCCCCAGCAAATCCGTTCCAGAGCCCTTTGGCAAGGGTTCGCTCAGGACAAAGATCATCCTGGTTCTCTTCACTTCCACCCTGCTAGCGCTGGGTGCCGGCTTCCGCATCGGCGTGAGCTACACTACGCCCCGGCTTGCGTCGAACCCAGCATGGTACCACCACAAGGCCTGCTATTACGTCTTCAACTATGTCATTGAGTTGATCGTGGTCTTTACCTACGCACTCAGCCGTTTCGATAGGAGGTTCCACATTCCCAACGGATCCAGTGCACCGGGTCACTACTCTGCAGGTGTTGTGGACGAGAAGCACTCGAGCAGCACTAGCAATATCAATGACATGGACGCTGAGCGGTCACCAAGTTACAAGGAAAGCTTTCGAATGGAGAACAGCTCATAGAAATAAGATATGACTTATGAGAGGGAGCAAGGAGTTTGATAGATCGTGATTTAGAAAGTAGAGAGTTATAGCTCTTCCTACAGCAGGGAAACAAGTGAACCTGCAGAGAATGTAAAATATGTAATATGTTAAGCTCCTTGAACCATCATGAACGGCTGTGTTGTGCCTTTCCGTACCAAAGGGACCTCAGTACGAGAACTCGAAAGCAAAGCCGACGTCTGGATCATTCTGATAGACGGCGACGGTCACGATGCCATCTCCATAGTTGTAGTTGGTGTAGCCGAGATCATCAGGTTCGGCGACACGATCAAACCGACCCGGAGCTGTGTTGAACCGGATCGCTTTGATAGGTAGTGATCCAGACTCAGGAAGACCAAGGGCGCTCAATCCGCCAATCTTGACAAACCAGACGCCAGTGTTCGGACGACATCCAGCCAAGATACGCACGACTCGCTGGGAGGGATCGATGGTAGCGTACGTATCCACAAGCGTGTCCTCAGACATCTCGGTGCGCACACGATAGCCCGTCATGCTCTGGGCATAGTAGACATACACCGGGTACTCCCGAGCAGGCCGATAACTAGTGTCATACATGTCATAATCGGCGCCGGTCTTGTCTTTCCCGAGAAGATATGCCAGATAGTCGTTGAGTTCCTGACCGCCTAGCCAATTGGCCCGGAGACCTGGCACGTTGTGTCGCTCTAGCTGGCCAATGTTCCATATGAGACCGGACGGAACCTGCTGATCCGGGTGGCCGTACTCCTGGACATTCCAGATACCCTGAAAGTCGACGCCAGCAGCGTTCAGATACTGACGGTAACTGTTGAGCGAGGTAGTCAAGTCCCCGTTCCCGTAAAGGAAATGAAGACTGATCTGGTCTGGGATGGAGTTGTTGGACTTTATGAACTCAGCCCAGCGTGAGAAATAGTGTTCGACGCCTTGCGAAAAGTTGGGCAGATGACCGTAGGACGGCCCAATGACCTTGGCATTGGGGAAATCCCTCCTGTAGAATGGTGAGCTGGAGGAGGCCTCGGCCCGGGGTTGGGTGATTAACTTACATGATCTTATGGTATGCATGGCCCCAGTACTCCAGCCATCTGTCTATTCCTCGGTCGAGGAAGTCGACATTGTCGATCTCGTTCCAAAGGTCCCACCAAATGTTGTCGACCATGCCATCTTGTTTCAGCAGAGCGAAAAATGTGTCAAGGAAGTTGTCAAAGTCTGCGTAGCTTCCTCCGTCGCCCGGCATCGGCGTCTCGGCGAAATTCGGATACGAATCAGTCCCCCACATGTCATGGATCATGATTTGGAAATTTCCCCCGTGGCGGCGTGTGACCTGGTATGCAGACTTGAGGTACTCGTAGCGACCCTTGGGTCATTGTAAGCGCAGGTAAAGGGGTTCCATAGGTTAATTTGGTACTTGCCATGAACTCGTTCAGTCCTCGAGTCCATCCACGGCGGGGCTCGGCCAACTGCGAACCACCAGATCTCATGTTCCAGAACTTGATGTCAGATAGCCAATGGTCAGGAATCTGGTCGGGGTTGCTTGGGATTCCGAGTAAGACACCGGAAGCCATATGTTGCGGAGCACCGGCATTGTCATTGAGCCAGACGTAGGAAGACCCAGAGAGATCACGCTTCTGGATGTCAGAATGGGATACCGGTTCTGGAGCACTCAGAACTGCGCCCAGGGCTGGCAGTGCCAGGGCCGATAGGACGATCAAAGCATTTCGAGCCATGTTGTCTGTAACTTCGGCGCGTTGAATGGACTTGGAAGATGGCCTTCGAAAATCCTTCGATGAAGAACGAATGAAGGAAGGAATGCTCGAGCGGCCAAAGGGGGTTTTATATGGCAGACCTCTTCCCGCACTGGCTTCGCGGGTATCACCATAACATCTCAGACTACTAGCAAAACAGCATCTCAACTACAGTTACGGAAAGAATCTTGCCCAAAGGAAACTAGTAGGCAACTCGATAGGCGCCCATCAACGTTCATTTTCCCGGGCGGCATCATCGCTTGTCGGGTCCGGATAAAGAACGCCAAGTCCGGTGGGGGTATGCCCGGTGGGCGGCCGGTGCACAATGCCGATTGCGCCGTGCCGGTATATGTAATTCAAAAGTGAGAGGAATCGCTATTGGTGTAAATATCTTCGCCGAGCACACTTAATACTACGCAAAAGAGCCGGTGTGATGCTCGGCAGAAACACAAACGGCGGGGGCGGGGCATCAAAGCCTCAAACGGGGGGCGAAGCTGGGCATCGAATAACTGAGACCACCTCTTAATCACGATTGCTTCTCCTCTCCTCATAATGGTGGATGGAACGAGATAATTATCCCTGAAGCCCCTTCTCTGAGGAGCATGGCCATAACTATGCTGACCCACGTGCATCCCTACTTCCATCCAGGCTGTTGAACCGAGCATCTAATCAATCAAACTGATGGATTAGATTACGTCAAAGTCTAAATTCACGGCTTATCAGATGGGGCGATCGTCGCTCGTTTGAACCGGGACTGGACGCCGATTCAAACAAACTGGAGTTATTGAGCGAACCAGATATCTCCTTTCTCTAGAGCGGGGCTTATCCAGGTACAGCGCCGAAAGATGCATCCGCGCGGGAACATTGTAGAGCGCATAGTTGAGGGAAAAGGAGTTGAAAGACAACGAGAACTGTCCTTCGAGGCGTATTTAAAGATGGCGGCCGACTCTTGCTTGCTCACTTGATCCTTCTCATCATCACTCGGAAACACAAAACAGAATCCCAGACCAACAAAAAGCCAATCACGGTATCATCTCAACTATGAAGTTCATCCAAGTCTTTGCGATTTTCGGTAAGTTAGTTGACGACTTATATCGCGGAAGTCCGTTGCAAACTAACAATTTGGTGCGCAATAGCGTCGATGGCCATCGCGGCCCCCCTCGCTCAAGAAGCACGCACCGAAGCAGCAGCTGGTCTGGAAGCGCGCCAGGGCTGCCAGTGGGACCCCACCAAGCCTTTGGGCGGATGCCCTTAAGTGCATGATGGTTTCAGTAGCACACACGACAACTCGTTGAGTTTTCAGTTTAAGTCAAGTCAGACGGAGTCAAGCCCTGGTGCTTCTATAGTCTTCACTTTATGCATTCTATCTTGGCCATCTTCCTCGAAGGCGATTATTAAATATCATACATACACATTAAATCCTCAAATGAGTCGTTCACAACCCCTCAATCAACTTGGGCAAGATGACATTGTTGTACTCCCACACCACAGTCGAGAAGCCTGCAGAGAAGGCTGCTCCCGTGTACCAGGTGGAGCGGCGCCCTTGAAGAGCTGTCTGCTTCTGAATGAATCCTGCACGAAGCTCCTCGCCGGTAACGCGAGGATGCATCTTCCCGTGGTTCGCAAAGGCAACAAAGCTGACTGTGCCGTTTGAAGCAGGGACTGTCCCGGCATCGATCAAATTGCCAATGGACTCAGCAATGACGGCCTTCATGCTCTCTGAGGTATCCTCATCCGTGCCTACAGCCGTGAACTGGAACAGGTCTTTGGTACCGCCAATGTAGTCGATGCGACCCACCTGAGAGGGGATAGGGAAGACGGTGTAGTTGGTCGAACCGGGAGCGGGCGACCTATTGGAGTAGGCGGTGCTGATTTGCAACGACGGGTGACGGAGGATGCCAGCGTAGACGGTGGTGAACTCGATCTTGTCGAATACTTCTGTCTCGGTCTCGTCTAGACGGAAAGGTGCAAGACTTTCGGGGGTCGGCTCGAAAGCGATGAGCAGGCGCTTTGCGTCAATGCAAGTCAAGGTGCCATCAGCGCCGGCAACCTTCACGGAGACACCCTCGCCAGTGCGTTGAGCCGTAGAGACGACAGTGCTGGAGTAGAGAACATCATCGCCGAGGAATTTGGCCACGCTCTCGTACAATTCGTAGAGACGTCCCGAGGCAGGGACCGCAGCGGCGGCGGTTCCTAGCAGAGCCCGCACCATGGGGACGCCGGAAGCCTGCATCACGAACAAAGTCGGCACGTCCATTGTGTCGCCAAGTCCCTGTGCCGTGGAATCCCAGATCTGGGGTACGGCGGCGGCGATGTCGTACTTTTCGACGAACTGGCGGAAGGGCATGACGAGGTCCTCCGGAATGGCGTCCGCGTCAGGGAAGTTCTCGAAGCCTGGGAGGATGATGTCCTCGTACTTCTCGAGAACATCGAGGTACCTCTGCAGCGCGGGATACATGGCGTCTGAAGAAGGCGCGGTCCAGCCTGCCACCGGCGAGCCCGTCTTGAAGTTGACGTACTTGTAATCAAGAGTGGTGAACTGCATCGACCCACTGGTTGAGACGTTCATGCGCTTCGGGAAGTCAAAGGTGTCCTTGTACTCCATCCATGCCTGGACACCGACGTTGATGGACTTATTCGAAGCCGAGTCATAATAGAATGCCGTATGGCCACCCTTGGAGATATTGTTAGTCACGATACGTAGTTGCTTCAAGGAGAGGCATCCAAAGAAGGGTGGGTGACGGGAGAGAGGGCGTGACTTACAAGTTGACTGGCTTTTTCTACAACGACGACACTCTGTCCATGGTCTCTCAACCAAACAGCAGCGTGAGAGCCAGCGGCACCACCACCAACGACAATAACATCCCGAGAGATGGTATGGTTGCAACAGCTCAACCCAGACACGCCCTGCGCCACAAACGTAGCGACGAGACTAGCACCTGCACGCATCGTGCTAGAACGCATGTCGACCGAGAAAGCGTGGATAGTTCAAAGAGTTCTCACCAACACGTGATCTTCTGGAATGCGGCAGTGCTTCTGGTGTGGTAACGCGATTGGTATTGAAACGCACGTCTACGGCGAGTCTGCAGAATCACGGGAGATTTTAAATCGAGTCGTTGATTGCCCGCAGAGTAGCACAACATCAACTCCCGAAGGTTGATAACTGCGTCTGCATAGCCTACGTACTTGACTTTCCCAAACAAGTATGCATATCTCGGTTGGTGGAATCGATCGTCTTGGCCGCCAGCCGTTCTCGCCGACATGGAGTCTTCACCCCGCATTGGACCAACGGCCGCTGCATGCC